AAGGAAATGTGGGGGGAAATGCTGATGATACTGTCATAGGGTTAAAAAAAGCAGAATATCATATGTATATTATGTATTCAAATATATAAAATGTATAATAAAGCATTGAAAAAATAGGTACAGCAAAATTATAGTAGTGGTGGTATTCGGTGATAGCATCATGGGGAATGTTTATTTTCTTTAACATCATTAGTAAGGTAAAGAAAGCAAATTAAAACAAGATACCATTCACCTAAAAATAGGTTTATATTTAAAGAAAAAAAGAATGACAACCATTGATGAGGCAGTGGAAATGGGAACTCTTGTACAGAGCAGACAGATGTGTGGATTAACCACATTTTTGGCAATCTAGGAACATGCAGCAAAAGATTGAGGACTTCCCTGGTGGTCCAGTGGGTAAGACCCCACGCTGCCAATGCAGGGGGCACGGGTTCGATCTCTGGTCAGGGAACTAGATCCCTCATGCACGTCACAACTAAGAGTTCACATGCCTCAACTAAGGAGTCCCGCATGCTGCAATGAAGAGCCCGCATGGCACAACGAAGATCCTGCGTGCCACAACTAAGATCTGGCGCAGCCAAAATAAATAAATAAATAAATATTTTTTTTAAAAGATTGAATATATTTTGCATCCATTTTGGTCCAGAAATTCTCCTTCTAAGACTATATTCTAAGGAAATGATTATAGAAGTGCATGAAGATCGTGTTGCATGGATACTCCCTGCAGACCTGTACCTAAGAGCTCGAAGTTGGAAGCAAGGAAGAAGAACTTGTAGAAGGGAGAAGGTGGAGAACAGAGGTGTTGCAAACCTGGAAGCCTGGTAGGTCTGGGTGCTGTGCTGTAGGAATGCTGGGAGCACCGGGTGAAGTCTGTTGAGTTTACTCTCATCCTCATACTTCCCACTTTACCGCCCTGGGCATGACTGTCTCTCCCACTCAACAGCAGACTCTTAAGTTCAGTGTCTTCCTCATCGTTTTTTCACTGGCATTTAGTCCAGTGCCTGGCACATGGTAGGTGTTCAATCAATGCTTGATAAAGGGATGAGCGATTCCAATGAAAGCTGACAGAAGCTGATAATAAAGAGCATTTTGAATTTTAAAATAATCAACAAGAGGAAGTTGTCCAGTGAACTTTTTACTTGCATAAAACTGGTTCTACTATTTGTAGGAAACCATTCTTTCTCACCTCTGACAACTAACTATGTTCTCCTAAAAGAAACCCAGTCTTATTTTCTAAGCATGGGCTGTAGTGCTTATAAAAGCATGTGCTAAATTTGGCTGGATTAATCTGAAGTATGTTGGTATACTTATGCTTCCTCTGGAAATAATCCTTTGCTGGAGAAACCTTCTCTCCAAAAACTGTGGCGACATTGGCCCTTCCCAAGAATTCGATCGCTATTGCTAGAAGAATATTGATCGAAATCAAAATTGCCTTTGGTACCTGCATGGGGACCTCACCCTCTCTCTACTTCAGCCAGAGCTCATGCTCAAGTCAATGTGTCCTATAGGCCAGTGATAGCCAAGTCACCCAGGGAGTGAAAAGTGCAGGTTCAAGCATGCCTTTCCGTATCAACCCCTAATCCTACCCCATCCCATGTCTCCAGAGAGTATGAGAAGCATGGTGTAAGAAGCATCAACTTCTCTCATTTTCCAAGTTCAGCTGGGTCCTTGGTATTCATCCATTCACTTAACAATAAGTATTTCTTGATTGCTCACTTATATCAAGCACCAGGGATATAGCATGAGATCTAATCCCTTTCCTCAAGGTGTTCACATAAAGTGGGGATGACAAGTATTCAAATAGTTATAATAAAACATGGTAACTCTTACAATAGAAGTAAGAAAGAGTAGGAGTAGGAGATAAGAGAAAGCCAAGGATGCTTTGTGTTATATGCTTGTGGTTATGGTAAGACAAAACAATAGCATATTGCCAAGTTCCTTTCAAAAACTGGGAATTTAATTACGGATACAGTGACCAGACATGCCAGCTTGCCTAAGACAGTCCCAGTTTATGTCTGTTGTCCATTATCTCATCCGATTTAGCACTTATCCCAAGCAAATAATGTACATATAATTTCATCCTTTCAGCCATGGTCTTAGCTAGTAGTGAGATACCCATGTACAGTGAACAGAGTGCTTACTTTAATTAATGAAAGATAACCAGTGGCCCTTCACAGCAAAACATAACATATCCCTGTGACCCCTGCCACAGTTTGACAGTGCAGCCCGTTAGGCCACAGCCTATGTTTTGGTCTGTGAGACATGTGGAGCTGCCAGGCTGCAAGTCAGTGGGGCTGGTGGGAAACGTGGGATATTACAGATTATGTTACAGGCACAAGATGTAGTGTGAAAAATAGATGCTGAGCAGTCTTGCTGAGAGTAGTTTGAACTCTCTTGCAACAGTGTTATTTATTATATGGTGTAAAAATATAACTACCTTATTGTTTGGTATCAGTTTTTTATTTGCTAGTAAATCCTTTTGGCTGTGAAGAGCTAAAACAAGGAACATACATGTTTAATGAAAAATTAAGCACAGTTTTTTTAAAGAAAGTTGATGAATTTGATACTTGCAATGTTGCTTGACATATACCCCGCACCACGGGAACCATCATGATGTCAATGACCATGGGAAAAATCAAAAGACATAAATTGCTGAAGAACATCAGAGTCTACTTCAAAAGTTTGCACTTATTTCTAAAAGCAATTACACTCCAATAAAGATGTGGGGAAAAAAAGAGTGTATTCAAAGACAGTGCTTTGCCTCAAGGAGCTACAGAAAGTCCACTTGTATACCATTATGTGAGCATTACTTTTCATTTATATCAAATAAGTTTCCTTCTAGTTTCACTTTTTTACTAATTTTTTTTATAATCAAAGGAAAACTTTAATATTTTGGCTGTATGAGCACAAAAAGAACCTCGTAAACAGTTAAATGAAAGCAGTTTTAAATCAATGTCTTCAGATGTATTCATCCATCTGAATACATTGGTTTGATTTTTTTTTATTTGATTCTTCATGGAATCAAGGCAAAGCTTTTCAATATTCAGTATTGGAAGATAAAACTGACATGATTATAAATATTACTATAAATTCAGTTAAAAAATTCAACAATCAAGTGTAAATATTTTGGTTTTATAGTGATAACATAAATGCAAATTTGGTGGAGCACAACATCAGAGTAAAGATATTTTCTTAGTAAATTGAGAAATTTATGGAGAAATGGGCTTAAAATTGGTTGTGAAACATATATAATTAACAACTGTATCCAAACAAGCTACAACATTTTGTTATTCAAAAAAAGAGCTGTAGTTGTGCAAATTTAAATATTTTCATATATTCACAGAGGAAATGAACTGCAAAATTTTTACAATGACAAAGATGTTAAAGAAATGCTTTAGCATGAGAGTACATGTGGTCTGTCTTTGCTACAAATCATCAACCAAAATTTTAGAAATGTTTGAGGCTTCAAAGAACTGTTTTCTATATCAAATGATACGTCCTACAATGATCCTGAACTTTTTCGTGGTAAATAAGCCCTCTAAGTTTTTGTGGAATTTTATTCAAAATAGTTGTAAAGTTTTAGACAAAGTATTCTACACGTGGAATGCCACAAACCTTAGTTTTTGAGGATATAGTTAATTGTAATTATTGAAAATCAAGTTTGCAAACAAGAAGATATTGAAATTTACCCCTATAAAAGCAAGGGAACAATTGAACATATTATATAATGAGAGTTCAAAATGTGTACAAGATTTAATTTTTAAATTCTATAATTGTGCTTTGAAATATCTCAATTTATGTGAAAACTATTTTGATGGAGCTCCTATTTTAATTGGATAAAATTTTCTTCTTGATGAGAATTAAATGATATCCAGGAAATCTAAGATTTCATAGCATCTAAATTTAGTAAAACATTCAAAAAAATCATAGATAGAAAAATTGTGAAGTCAAAAAAAGACCTTGCCTATAAAAATATTTGGGCTCCAGGCATGTGGGCCTCAGCAGTTGCAGCACATGGGCTCAGTAGTTGTGGCTCGCGGGCTCTAGAGTGCAGGCTCAGTAATTGTGGCGCACAGGCCTAGCTGCTCGATGGCACGTGGGATCCTCCTGGACCAGGGATAGAACCTGTGTCCCTTGCACTGGCAGGTGGATTCTTAACCACTGCACCACCAGGGAAGTCCTAGATATTTTCTCAGTTAAAAAAAAGTTATGTTCAAAAGAGAAGAATCAATTAAAGGTGCAACAATCTGAAACTGATTAACCACAAAATGCACTTCAAAAAAAGAGTGCAGACAATTTTGTGAAAAAATTAAAAATATTTTAACAAAATATTTTTAAAAATACAAAACCCCAAATTTTTCATTAGAAAAATACAGGCGCATAAAATGAAGACCGAAACTGATTAAAGTGTGTGACTCTGTATCCAGAATAATTATTCTGTTTATGTTATCTTTTAGCATTTAGATAATATTTAAAGTATTTTTTTAAGTTGGTTTAATGTACACAGATATACTATTTTAATTTTTGAAATAATTGCATTTTTAAAATAGTTTGTAATAGAATTCTTTTATATGCCCATCAATATGGTAATGTCAATTTACTGATCAATAAATAAAACTTTCGAATTAATATATAACTTTAGTTATTCTAGGGACCCCTTTCACTCTCAAAAGTGCACTAGTCTGAACAGTAAATAATGATCACATAATTATAGATGAAGGAACAAGTTTCTTAAAACATTGCCTTTTCCTAATGGTAAACTAGAAGGAACTGGGGTACCAATCATTTCATGTTTCTGAAAGATATGTGACGGAGGTGCCCACAGGTAGGAAATATTATAACCAAAAGCTAGTCAGCAAAGAAGTAAACAAGGCGGAATCATAAACATGCCCCCACACATCAAAACCAAAGTTTCTATAAAGAGAGGAGAATATTGAGCTAATGTATGGATCTTACCTGCAAATGCACTAGAAAGATTTTGGAAACTTGGATTCTGAAACTTGACATACTTGTCTGTCCACCATGTAATTCCACTCCTTATCATTGGTACTTTGACATGGATAGATGAATTAAGGTTGTAAGAAAGAATAATGGTGTCTGTAGGGAAATTAAAAACTGTGTTAGATTCAAGTAAGCATTTTTTGCCACACTTGGAAGTGAACAACCAGACACAGCTTAAAAAGCAGGGTTTGAAGACTCTCCACATGCCTACATGGCATAGATGCTGGAAACAGAAGACTATTCTTTTTCTGGCTAAGGCCCCAATTATTGAAAAATACTCTTAGACTCCATTTGACTCATGTTTCCTAACTACTTCAAATCTCTGGTAAGGGAGAACTTATTTGCAAATGAAATATCATAAATCAGTGGATAATGTATACAAACAGTATTTTAAAAACTGCCATTCATCCTACACCCAGTGGGACCCACCCACGATTAGGGGTCCAGCAGCGATGCGGGAGACCCTGGGGGAGACGGTGGGGGAGGAGCGTGAAGGAACGGAAGCGAATGCGGCCGGCGCATTCCCTGTCCACTTAGGCACCTGGGAGCCTGTTGGGCTCCTGGGCCTAATCCTCTGCCCTCAGAGCCTCCCTCCTGCAGCGCAGAGCCAAAGCCTCGCCTCTACACCCCCACCCAGGGCCCTACCTCCAAACTCCGGAACGCCACACTCCAGAGGCCCTCCTTTTCAAGTGCTGCAGCTACCCTTTCCCGCAGGTCCTAAGCAGAGGCCCCGCCCTACACTTGAACGTCACCCCCCCTCCCGCCTAGGGAGACTCATTAGCCAGACTCATCAAGCAAAAAAGGGAGAAGACTCAAATCAACAGAAGTAGAAATGAAAAAGGGGAAGTAACAAGTGACACTGCAGAAATACAAAGGATCATGAGACATTACTACAAGCAACTATATGCCAATTAAAATGGATAACCTGGAAGAAATGGACAAATTCTTTGAAAAGCACAACCTTCTTAGACTGAGCCAGGAAGAAATAGAAAATATAAACAGACCAATCACAACCACTGAAATTGAAACTGTGATTAAAAATCTTCCAACAAACAAAAGCCCAGGACCAGATGGCTTCACAGGCAAATTCTATCAAACATTTAGAGAAGAGCTAACACCTATCCTTCTCAAACTCTTCCAAAATATAGCAGAGGGAGGAACACTCCCAAACTCATTCTACGAGGCCACCATCACCGTGATACCAAAACAAGACAAAGAAGTCACAAAGCAAGAAAACTACAGGCCAATATCACTGATGAACATAGATGCAAAAATCCTCAACAAAATACTAGCAAACAGAGTCCAACGGGACATTAAAAGGATCATACACCATGATCAAGTGGGGTTTATCCCAGGAATGCAAGGATTCTTCAATATACGCAAATCAATCAATGTGATACACCATATTAACAAACTGAAGAAGGAAAACCTTATGATCATCTCAATAGATGCAGAAAAAGCTTTTGAGAAAATTCAACACCAATTTATGATAAAAACTCTCCAGAAAGTGGGCATAGAGGGAACCTACCTCAACATAATAAAGGCCATATATGACAAACCCACAGCCAACGTCGTTCTCAGTGGTGAAAAACTGAAACCATTTCCACTAAGATCAGGAACAAGACAAGGTTGCCCACTCTCACCACTATTATTCAACAATAGTTTTGGAAGTTTTAGCTACAGCAATCAGAGAAGAAAAAGAAATAAAAGAAATCCAAATCGGAAAAGAAGAAGTAAAACTGTCACTGTTTGCAGGTGACATGATACTATACATAGAGAATCCTAAAGAAGCTACCAGAAAACTACTAGAGCTAATCAATGAATCTGGTAGAGTAGCAGGATACAAAATTAATGCACAGAAATCTCTTGCATTCCTATACACTAAGGATGAAAAATCTGTAAGGGAAATTAAGGAAACACTCCCATTTACCATTGCAACAAAACGAATAAAATACCTAGGAATAAACCTACCTAAGAAGACAAAAGACCTGTATGCAGAAAACTCTAAGACACTGATGAAAGAAATTAAAGATGACATAAATAGATGGAGAGATATACCATGTTCTTGGATTGGAAGAATCAACAGTGTGAAAATGACTATACTACCCAAAGCAATCTACAGATTCAATGCAATCCCTATCAAACTACCAATGGCATTTTCCACAGAATTAGAACAAAAAATTTCAAAATTTGTAAGGAAACATAAAGGACCCCAAATAGCCAAAGCAATCTTGAGAAAGAAAAATGGATCTGGAGGAATCAGGCTCTCAGACTTCAGGCTATATTACAAAGCTATAGTAATCAAGACAGTATGGTACTGGCACAAAAACAGAAATATAGATCAATGGCACAGGATAGAAAGCCCAGAGATAAACCCACGCACATATGGTCACCTTATCTTTGACAAAGGAGGCAAGAATATACAATGGAGAAAAGACAGTCTCTTCAATAAGTGGTGCTGGGTAAACTGGACAGCTACATGTAAAAGAATGAAATTAGAACACTCCGTAACACCATACACAAAAATAAACTCAAAATGGATTAGAGACCTAAATGTAAGGACAAGCACTATTAAACTCTTAGAGGAAAATATAGGCAGAAGACTCTATGACATAAATCACAGCAAGATCCTTTTTGACCCACCTCCTAGAGAAATGGAAATAAAAACAAATGCAAACTATGAAACTTAAAAGCTTTTGAACAGCAAAGGAAACCATAAATAAGATGAAAAGACAACCCTCAGAATGGGAGAAAGTATTTGCAAACGAAGCAACTGACAAAGGATTAATCTCCAAAATATATAAGCAGCTCATGTAGCTTAATATCAAAAAAACCAAACAACCCAATCCCAAAATGGGCAGAAGACCTAAACAGACATTTCTCCAAAGAAGATATACAGATTGCCAACAAACACATGAAAGGATGCTCAACATCACTAATCATTAGAGAAATGCAAATCAAAACTGCAATGAGGTAACACCTCACACCGGTCAGAATGGCCATCATCAAAAAATCTACAAACAATAAATGCTGGAGAGGGTGTGGAGAAAAGGGACCCTCTTGCACTGTTGGTGGGAATGTAAATCAGTACAGCCACTGTGGAGAACAGTATGGAGACTCCTTATAAAACTAAAAATAGAAGTACCATGTGACCCAGCAATCCCACTACTGGGCATATACCCTGAGAAAACCATAATTTAAAAAGAGTCACGTACCACAATGTTCACTGCAGCACTATTTACAATGGCCAGGACATGGAAGCAACCTAAGTGTCCATCAATAGATGAATGGATAAAGACGATGTGGCACATATATACAATGGAATATTACTCAGCCATAAATAGAAATGAAATTGAGTTATTTGTAGTGAGTTGGACCTAGAGTCTGTCATACAGAGTGAAGTAAGTCAGAAAGAGAAAAACAAATCTGTATGCTAACACATATATATGGAATCTTAAAAAAAAAAAAAGGCTCTGATGACCCTAGGGGCAGGACAGGAATAAAGACACAGACATAGATAATGGACTTGAGGATATGGGGAGGGGGAAGGGTAAGCTGGGACGAAGTGAGAGAGTAGCATTGACATATATATACTACCAAATGTAAAATAGATAGCTAATGGGAAGCAGCTGCCTGTCGCAGGGAGTTCAGCTTGGTGCTTTGCGGCCACGTAGAGGGGTGGGATACGGAGGGTGGGAGGGAGATGCAAGACAGAGGGGATATGGGTATATATGTATGCATATAGCTGATTCACTTTGTTTTACAGGAGAAACTAACACAACACTATAAAGCAATTATACTCCAATAAAGATGTTAAAAAAAAATAAACTGCCACTCAGCTACAGGAGTAATCTTCTGGATATTTAGATTGTTACACACTCATGAAACGGAAGATGATGGAGATAGGAAAAGACACCTACCATTGAACATGCTATTGGCAATAGCACCACAAGGAGCGATGGGGATCCCATTGTGGGAGGTTTTGAATGGAGCACAGTTTCTAACATCCTGGATGAGAAATGATACAGGAAGAAGTGTTTTTGGTAAAATCTCTTAAAATGCTGGAAGTGAAAATACTGGCAGTGTAAATCAACCCATGCTGATCCACTGGCACAGATTGAGATTATGGGCTGCTACCTGCTGTTCCCAGGCTGCTGGCTGACCTAGACTAGACAATTTTTGTGTTTTGGAGATATGTATGTGTGTACGTGCACGTGTGTGTAGTTTCTTTCCTCATTAACAGTACATAGCATACCAAATATGTCTGCAGGAAGAAATTTTACTTTGCTTGCTGTGCTAAATACCACACTAAGCCCACAATGGAATATATTTTTAAAAGCTTTTTCTTATTGGAGTGTAACTTATATTCTAAAAAGTATATAAATTGTGATTCTACAGTTGGATGACTTATCACAGGGAAATCCATCCACCTAACTACAAGAATACATTTTAAAAAGAGTGGCTGCTAAAAACCATTTGGTTATCCCTTTTATATAATGCCAGTATAGAAAAGGTTTCCTTCTATCTTTTCTTGCCAGCATGCTGAATATCATTTACCAAGAGTTAAATTTTGTAATCTTAGGTCTGAAAGAATATTCATTAAACCAAAGGCTTTTATTCAATCAAGTAGAGCCCAGTTTCCTTAAACTAGGCTGATTGAAGCCCCCAGTTATAAAAAGGACAATGGTGGATATAGAGTGAGCTAGGCTGAAGCCAATCACTCAAGGTTACTATCAAAATGGTTGGTACATCCATCAACTAAAATAGGCAACTTTAAAGATAACTACAGAAATTAAGTATGAGAAAATAATATTGAAATCTAATCGATGTGTCAGTCATTCAAAGAAGCAAAAAACTCTACTGTTTGAAGAAGCTCCAGTATGCCATCAACTTTATTAAGAGAAACATAAATCCTGAATTGTGGTTGAAAGGTACTTGAAGATTTGCCCTTCTGACACATTCATTATTACCAAGACCTGGGCAGTCCAATATGTATCTGGTTTTAATATAAAATGCTGTCAAATAAAAAAATGGTTGGTGCATGAAAGGCTAAACATCTAATTGGACAAGATTCACATTCCTGCTCTGAAGAGGGAAAGTAGCAGTTATCCTGAATACTCAGTCCCTTCAGTTCATGCAAGAATGAAATGAGCATTTCTGTCTTGTAAAAACTTAGCTTTTGAGTTTATTTTCCATACTGTCTTTTAGACTGAAAGATCCATCTGGCTTGAAAAAAAAAAAAAAGAGTATTATAACAAGGTAAATAAAGCCTTACCTTTACATCTGTACCCACCAGTTGGCTATTACTTCTGGATAGAATATATCGATAGAGGTTCTGATAGAAGCCATACAATTTGTAGTACATATAAACATTACCCTGTAGAGAACAGCAAGATGTAAGAAAAGAGAAAAACAAACTGAAATAGTAATAAACACGGACAGGAGTTTTAAAATATAAGAAGTAGTACCAAAAAATATTGATGTGAACTGAAAGTTTCTTTATATCAGATAGAAACCCAAGAAATTATTTTTAAAAATCAGTATTGGAAAATCCTGGTCTATACAAAATTATTAAAATGACTACGTAACTTATTTTTAATGTCTTTGTAAGGGCTACCACATTCCTGCCTTGAAAAAATTTTATAACTAGCCTTTGTATTCTCAATATATAAAAGTTGATTTCACAAATATTTCCCAGCAATACTAGGAAAGATGCTTTGCCTAGGGGTTGTGGTAAGCATCAAATTCACATGGTCTCAAAGCAAATCCATGAAACACAATTTAAAATTGGAGCCACTGAGCGTGTTTAGGCGCATGTTCACAATTGCCCATGTGAAAGACATAAGCCCAGCTCCTTGGTGTCCAGCTCCGGTGTTGTCTTTTTACCACTAGGATCTAGCACAGTACTGTGGCATATTGTACTTGGTTAAGAAATGGTGAACCATTTGTTATGGACAAAAATATGGAATAGTTCACTGATCTAGAAGAAAGGTGGTTTTCACCTTAGCAATAAGTAGCCTTGTGGCCATGAGAGATGGGCGTTTTCATGGATTTTGCCGAATGAGGCTGCCCAATCACAGGCTACCATTGTGCTTCTACATTCATGGTGAAATACCAAAGCCCTAGAACTTCTCCTTTTTTTTTTTTTTTAATTTGTATTTATTTATTTTTGTCTGCATTGGGTCTTCATTATTGCGTGAGGGCTTTTCTCTAGTTGCGGCGAGCGGGGGCTACTCTTCGTTGTGGTGCGCAGCCTTCTCATTGCGGTGGCTTCTCTTGTTGCGGAGCACGGGCTCTAGGAGTGTGGGCTTCAGTAGTTGTGGCATGTGGGCTCAGTAGTTGTGGTTCACGGGCTCTAGAGCACAGGCTCAGTAGTTGTGGCACACGGGCTTAGTTGCTCCGTGGCTTGTGGGATCTTCCCAGACCATGGCTCAAACCCGTGTCCCCTGCATTGGCAGGCGGATTCTTAACCACTGCGCCACCAGGGAAGCCCCCTAGAACTTCTCCAAGTGGGCTTGATACAGATTTTACTAACAGCACATATGATGCAAATGTAAATGTCCAAGGTAGCTATTTATAATTAATATTCTATCTACCTCCAAAATAATGAAGGTACGCATCTAAAAATATGAAGGCCTAAATTTTATTAAGTGCCTCCTATATGTCAGGTGCTATGTTCAGTGCTAGAAATACAAAAGTATTACTTTACAGTTCCCTGAGTCAACTGATTCTTTTATGCTATGCAAATCTGGCCTCGCCCTAAGGACCTTTAAGAGGATGAGTATGGAAGATGGGAGCTGGTACCCAGGTTAGGCTGAAAATAAAGGTCATGGTAAGTGTGACCAGTTACAGAAAACAACAAAGGCTGAGGAGCTTAGTCCCTGGTAAGAGAAAAGCCTCTGGAACACTGAGAAAGGGAGAAGCTGGGCCCTGAGAGGCGGGCTGCAACATCGTAAACAGAGAGCACGGATGTGAAGGTGAACAAGCCAGGCATAGCAGGAATGACAGATTATATTTCCTCACCAAAGGAGGGAACCTCTACTGATGACCCATAACTACAGAAAATATGAAATCCATGGAATGGAACTTACCATACATTTTCTTGGAAGCTAAAAAGAGCATTCTACTTACCCAAAGGTATATACTCATATAAACATGACAAAATAAATAGAGAACACTCACATGCTGGGGACAGAAGTGTTTTAATGAACTGTTTTCAATAATTCTTTGTCCAAGATTTTACAAGGCCTCCAAGATCATCATCTTTTGATTAGTCCTAGAGGCACAATGCACTTTATAGTGTTTCTTTTCTTCCGTGGTACTTGGTGCAGGATTCCTAGTTTAAGGCAGAGAGCCTTGCGTGGATCTGTCATCTAGCGTGTGTAATGTGTGTGAACTTGTGGGCAGAAGGCTCTGTGCTTGCCCTGAGTAGTTTGGTTAGATTTTTATGAGAAAGCCTTTGCCTCAAAGGAATGGTTAGCAGCTGGTAACACTTATTTGCCTTTAGGATTTCAAAGGACACAGACAGATGGGAACTTGAAGCCCTTTAAGGTTTTATCTTTTGGATTTTTTTTTCTTCAAAATTTTAAGCACCCTGTGCCTCCCAAGAAGGAACCAATCCTGCTGACACCTTGATTTCAGACTTCTGATTTCTAGAATTGTAAGAAAATAAATATCTAATGTTTAAAGAAAAGAAAAAGGGAACACTAACTTTTACTTTCGGGGGGCAGCATGGTGAGTTGAGGAAGGCAAGAAAGTACACAATTGTAGAGAACTAGAATTTTGACCTTTAACAAAAGAGCACAGATATAAAACTTCCCTCATGGGACTTTATATAGATATCACTTACAACTCAAGTACTACTCAGTAATTTTCTCATAATTTACATCAGACTTACTCACAAAAATGATTAGAGATACAGATGTATTCAGAATATTACTGATGCCAACATGCTTTCATCTGGGATCAAGGGGGAAATAGGAAAGGGACACATAAAACCAAAGCTTCCTAGAGCATAAAGACATATAATTTATCACTTTATCTTTTTTTCCATTCATTTAAAATTTCGGCAAACATTGTCTAAGCATCTACCACGTGAAATATACTGTGCTATGCCCCTGTGAAGGAAGCAAAGATTCTTATGTTCATTCAATAAACATTAATTGGGCAACTACAGGGTGTCAGGCATAGTTATAGGTGCTTGGGATACAATAGTGAGAGACAGACAATAAACAATACATATAATAAACTGTTAATTTATATAGTAAGTTGGAAGGCGATAAGTACTATGGAAAAAATGGAAATTACAGTAAGGTAATAAGAATCAGGAGTGCAGGTGTGAGGTGAGCAGACAGGATGAAGTATGAAATAGGATGGCTAGTGTAGGCCTGAGTAGGTGATGGCTGAGCCAAACCAGACTTGAAGGCAGCAGGGGAGTTAGCCGAGTGGATGTCAGGTACAGAGAAGAAGCGAATGCCTGACTTGTCTGAGGAATGAGGGGGCCGGTGTGGTCAGAGAGGGGGTGGGGAAGAGAATGGAGAGAGGAAGTTAGGAGGAAGTAAGAATCCAGATCACATAGGCCTTGTAAGGACTTAGGCTTTTTCACTGAGTAGAAAGAGAAGCCATTGCAGGGATTTTTGAGCAAAGGAATAACATGATATGACTTATACTTTAAAACGTTCACTCTGGCTGCTCTATTGAGACATGGATACAACAGGGAGGCCTGATAGGAGGCTACTGTAGAAATCCAGGTGAGAGGTGAGGGTGGCATGGAGCTGGGTAGTAGCAGCAGAGGTGGGCAGAGGTGAGCAGGCTCTGGATATATTTTGAATGTAGAACCAATAGGATGGATTGGATGCAAGGTGTGAAAGAACGAAAGGAGTCAAGAATGACCCCTGGGCTTTTAGTCTGAGCACCAGAAGGACAGAGTTCTTTTCAACTGAGATCGTCTGCAGGTGGAATAGGGTTTTTCTGGGGATGGGCGTAGAGTAAGTAAGGGGAAGAAGTGGATATTAGTTCGGTTTTAGAAACATTAAGCTGAGATAGAAAACAGAGAATTGGTAATCGATAGCATTTAAACCTAGGAGGTAGATGATGTTTCCAAGGAGGTGAGTACATACGGAGAGGAGATGAAGACTGAAGGCCGTGACTAAAGCCCTGCAGATCTCCACATAAAGAGTTTGGAGAGGGCTTCCCTGGTGGCACAGTGGTTGGGAGTCTGCCTGCAGATGTGGGGGACGCGGGTTCTTGCCCCGGTCCGGGAAGATCCCACATGCCGCGGAGCGGCTGGGCCTGTGAGCCATGGCTGCTGGGCCTGCGCGTCCGGAGCCTGTGCTCCACATCGGGAGAGGCCACGACAGTGAGAGGCCAGTGTACCGCAAAAAAAAAAAAAAAAAAAAAAAAGGAAAATAGTTTAGAGAAAATAGGAGGAACAGCAAAGGAACCAAAGAAGGGCAGTCAGGGGACTTCCCAAGTGGCGCAGTGCTTAAGAATCTGCCTGCCAGTGCAGGGCACATGGGTTTGAGCCCTGGTCCGGGAAAATTCCACATGCCACGGAGCAACTAAGCCCATGCTCCACAACTACTGAGCCTGTGCTCTAGAGCCCATGAGCCACAACTACTGAGCCCACATGCCACAACTACTGAAGCCCACACGCCTAGAGCCCATGCTCTGCAACGAGAAGCCCCCACTCGCCACAGCTAGAGAAAGCCCGTGAGCAGCAACAAAGACCCAACGCAGCCAAAAATAAATAAATTAATTAAAAAAAAAAAAAAAGAAGGGCAGCCAGAGGGCAAGGAGGAAAACCGAGAGAGTAAGGTCTCCTGGAAGCCAACAGAAGCAAGCATGTCAAGGAGGAGGGAGTGATTGCCTGTGTCCAGTGTGTGACAAGGCACTGAGGACAGAGCACTGGATTTATCCACAAGGAAGTCATTGGTAACCTCGCAATTTCACTGAGTGTTAGGGCCATGGGTGGGTCTTTGAGAATGAGAAGAGAGGAATTGGAAATACCCAAGAGAGATGACTCCTCTGAGGAGTTTCCCTGCTAATGCGAGGAAAGAAATAGGCAGATAGCAGGCAGGGAAATTTGGGAGAACAGAAGAGTGCTTTGTTTTTGTTTTTTAAAAGATAGGTCAAATAATATGTTTGTGTGCTGATGGGAATGATCCAGTAGAGAGAAAATTTGATGATATAGAGAGATGACAACTGCTGAGTTAAGCCCTTATAAAGGCAAGAAAGGCTAGCATCTATCACACAAGTGGAAAGGTGAGCCTTCAGATGAGAGCATGGGTGGTTCACCTGTGGTAACAGGTGGGAAGGTTGAATATGTAGTGCAGATACGTCTGGACGTGTAGTTGTGTGGTGTGGCATGTAAAGCATGGTCCCTTTCCTCAGGGAGCTTCCTGTGAATAGAGGAAATGAGTCTACAGGATATTATATGGGCGATTGTAAGTCCATAAGAAGAGTTGAAACAGCGCTCTCAGGATACAAATGTGGGCAAATTCTTGCTGGAGACATGAGCGAAAAGGAGGCTCAAGGAAGTGTTTGGATATAGTGGCTTAAAACAAGTGAGATCTTACAGGTGGGGGTGAGAGGGGAGACTTTCTAGGCAAAGAACAGCAGGAACATAAAGAGTTGCATCATGGAAAAGCAAGTTAGTCAGTTTGGCAGGAGTACAAGGTCTCCTGCAAAGATTAAAGATGAAAAGGTGGCTGGGCCTCAGGTGTTGAAAAGTTATCTGAAAGAAGGCACATTTTGGGGGACAGGGTGTGGTCTACTGATTTGGCAAATAACGATTGGCTAAAAGTAGGAGAAGCCAAAGGCTAGATGTGCAGTTAAGGTTGCTGTGATGCTAGATCAGGAGGGACTGAACTGGGGTGATGCCAAGAAAATGGAGTGAGAAAGTGGTTGGGAGAGACAGGGATTGCAGAACAGTAATCAAACATCAGAGGTCTGGATGAGAAAGGAGTGGGCAGGGTCAAGTCAAGGAGGAAAATTTTGAGTCTCGGTGATGGGATCTTTCCCAGAAAGGGAAGTAAGGAGGGTTTTTCAGGAGATGACGATGAGTCTGGTATGGGGAGGAAGCAGGGCCTTGAGGATGGGATGTTCAGTGACAAGCTCAAGAGAAGGCCTGCCTGCACGTGAAACATCCCATGCAGAGTCATCTATGCAGGGGAAGCAGGGGAGACGGATCAGGTTAGGGAGGAGGTGCTGTGGGAGAGGTGCGGAGTCCAGAGGACAGGACAGGACCTTTGAAAAGTTTCAGGAAATGCATTTTCTTTTTTTATAAATTTATTTATTTATTTATTTGGCTGCATTGTGACTTTGTTGCTTGCGTGGGCTTTCTCTAGTTGTGGCGAGCGGGGCCTACTCTTTGTTGCGGTGCGTGGGTGTCTCATTGCGGTGGCTTCTCTTGTTGTGGAGCACGGGATCTAGGCTCAAGGGCTTCAGTAGTTGTGGCTCGTGGGCTCTACAGCACAGGCTCAGTAGCTGTGGTGCATGGGCTTAGTTGCTCCGTGGCATGTGGGATCTTCCCCGACCAGGGATTGAACCTGTGTCCCCTGCATTGGCAGGCGGATTCTTAACCACTGTGCCACCAGGGAAGTCTCGAAATACATTTTCATTTGATCAAGTCTTTGCTACCTAGTAAGACTGTGGTGGCCCTGAAAAGGTGCCTCTTGATCTCCTACTGCAGGGAGCGTAATCGAGGGGTGGACGTGGCTGCTGTGCTCTGAGGTCATCCTATGTTTGCACAAGGCCATGCTTCCCATTGCTGCTCCCAGACAATGGCTGAGCAACAGGGATACTGAGGTAAGGACTCTCTGTTGGGGTTGCTGAAACTTTCTTAAGAATACTCTGCAGTCTAAGACCTTTCTTCCCTCCTCCCCATCTCTCTACCCTCCTCTCCCTCTGTCCCTCCTTCCTTCCTACTCTGCTTCCCTCTCCTTCCCAGGGGTCAGAGCTGTGCTGTGGTCTGACAGCTCTCCCAGCCTCCTCCAGCTTCCTCCATATTTTCCCTTGCAGGCGGTTCCCCCAGTAAATCTCTGGCATGTCTAATCCTGTCTTGGCATCTGCTTCTCAGAGGACCTGGACTAACACGAGACTTTAAACAGCCCCAAAGCAGGGATGTCTCTTAATATTTCTTTGGCATTTCTCACAGTGCCTGACAGCCAGGCCGAGTCGCCTTAGGGATTAGGCAACTGCATGTGTAGAATGACTAGGAGGGGAGGACACAAGGAGTGTCCCAGGTATGTGACCTTTGACACTAACTCACTGTGTGACCTTGGCCAAGTCACTTAACCTCTCAACCCATTAATCTCATTGTAAAATGAGTGGTTAGATTCAGTAATTTCTATGGTCCCCTCCTGTGTTGACATTTGGCATAGAACCTGTTTGATTGATGTTAAGAATTGTTACAAAGCTGGGTGGGTAAAGAATCCAGAAATTTAGACATAAGGAGAAGAATGAAATTCCAAAGAAAAAAAAGGGGGTGGGGGTGGAGAGTCGAACATGAACTCAATACTTTATAAGATCCCCGCCCCCCATTCCCACCCTGCGTTATTTCTTGTATTTTCAGTTTTGGAAAGCATTTGGTGGAGATCATGAATTTACTGCCACATGTTAAATAGGAGGAGAGCAGCGTATAGCCAATTGAAGGCTCTTGAATCTCACTTACCTTCATTGTCTCTGGAAGGACAAAGGGAATAGAGCAGTTGCATTCTTTGTCAAAATTAGCGGCATTTTCCCGCAGTTTTGCACAATTTGCACATTTTTCTGTGTAATTAATCTGTCAGGCAGGGAAAATAATAATTATTAATAAAAAAGGGATGTGAGTACATATCTTAAAATTAAAGTCCTGAGTCCATCAAAGTCTCCAAGCTTTCTAGGTCAAGGGCGTGCTATCTGGGACATGAACCAAGGTCAGCTCTGTGGATGTGTGGGACGAGTGGGTCTCCTTACAGCCTTTCATTTTGGGACCCAGCTGCATTTTGCCACTTACTTGGAGTTCAGGGTTTCTACTACATATTTATGTAACCTGCTGTGATGAAGCCTTATGCCTCCATCATAAAAAGTTACCACTAGGAAAATATTAGTCAGTGACTCATGAGAACTGGGCCTGCAGCCTGAGTCTAATCAGCGTTATGGGAAAGTCACTTCACTGTTTTTCCATTTTATTGTATGGAAAATATTTATACTAGTGAATTATTCTACATGGTATCTAGAGGAAGTTTTTAAAAATGACCAAACATAGAAAAAAGAAATGTTTCCAAAATGTAGAGTTATCGATGTATTGTGAAGCAATTGTTTTTAAAATGTTGTTATATTGTTTTTTAAAGTTAAGTTCTGTGCAAAATGGTATAAGTGGACTCTTTAAAAAAGGGTAGTGGGTCCCGAATGGGCAAATCCTGTGAGCTCTGGCTCAAGGACTCAGTTATGTGAAGACGGAGCTGGAAGGAGGGTGGGGAAGGGGGGCTCAGAGAGAGGCCACGAGGCTGTGCATTTCCCTTCCGCTCCAGGAAACACTCATCTCAGGCTCCCAGCGGTGGTCGTGAGGTCCTGCTGGTCGCTGCTGCTTTTTCCTCACTGTGTTGAGGAGTCATTAGAAAAGTCTGGGAATGGGAAAGGAACAGGGAAGCAAGGGACTGGCTTTCTCTTCAGTAAATTGCCAATGGGATTTTAGATTCTTTGGGAGAGAAGAGCAACAAGAAAGAAAGAAGGAATTTTCAATGCTTGCAAAGCCACTGGGTGTTTGGAAGTCAAAGAGGTAAAGTGTGGATACTAAATTAAAGATTAGCCAAAAGGCTACTTAATTGTACTTAGATGCTTATATTTACTTAAATCATTCTTTAAGTATGCAGCAAGACTTGAACTCTTTTTTTAAAAAATACTGATGCCTTTTCTGTTAGTGACACTGCATTCTAATTTTTTAAAAGCACTGAAGAACACGGCTGTACCTAATTGAGATCTATCAATAGCACACTGAATTGTGACTGAGGAAACGGGTGCTAGTTCAGCCAGTCTCTGATCCTGAGTTCCAGGGCCCACATTGTTCATTAGCATCATTTTGGCTAGCAATTAATTGATTTGTGAGGTCATTTTAGTAGTATACACACTAATCCATGGATCCTTGAGAGAGTTCTATCAATGCCGAATTAGAAAAAAATGTCTTTCATGATCAAGTAATTTTTGAGTAGATGATATCCAAGGTGCTTTCTAGCTCTAAACATTTTATGAGGGAAACATGCCTTTGATCTACTGTCTACTTTTGCTGCTCAAACCTATAGCTCTAAAATGACAGCAAAGATCATAGTCTGGTCCTCACAGAATTTTGGAAAGGCAGGAATTATCATTCTTGCTTAAAGTAAACTGCAAAAAGGGCACATTCTCATTGTGCCCCAGGGCTAAGTGCGAAGAGGAAAGCCAGCTCCGAGCTCTTCTACTAGGTGTGTGTTGACCACACTGGCCTGGGATACACCTTATACATCCTGATACTCAGGATCAGAGACTGGCTGAACTAGCACCCGTTTCCTCAGTCACAGTTCAGTGTGCTATTGATAGGTCTCAATTAGGTACAGCCGTGTTCTTCAATGCTTTTAAAAAATTAGCATGCAGTGTCACTAACAGAAAAGGCATCAGTATTTTTTAAAATAACAGTTCAAGTCTTGCTGCATACTTAAAGAATGATTTAAGTAAATATAAGCATCTAAGTACATTCACCTTACCACCCATTACAACAAAACACTTCCATTGCAGAAGAGGATCAGTCTCTATGGGTGGTTTCTGATTTTCCTGTATAAAAGCAAAGTGTTAGAAACGGTCCTCTCTGAAGTGGCTTAAAAGAAAAGTCAATTGGAAAATCCCCTTAACATCATGATAAAATCATTCTGTTGAAAGCTGTTTGCAGAGTGGCCTTGGCCAACCATGGAGTGAGGTTCTCCTCACATCGCTAAGGTGACATCATTCAGCAATTGCTGTCTCTTAATGGAGGCTGCACTTCAAAGAGGGTGGGGATGGGTGCCCAGAAGGGAGGAAGTTGGAAGGACATGGGAAGGGGAGGAGAAGAACCAGAAATAAAGGGGTTGGTGAAGGAGAAAATAGAACAGTAAACAGGATGAACTTTATGGAAATGAATATCAACTTTGTAAGCCAATTACTTTGCTATCGCCTTCAACAAGGCAAGTTTGCTTCCCTCTTGCCATTTTGCCTTTTTCACTTGGTGGGGCCTGGTGGTTTACATTACCACCCTGGAGGACTCAAGAGGACTTAGGGGCACCTGCCAGGAGCTGGGGGGTGGGGTACAGAAAATTTCAGTGGAAAGGCAAGAGAGCAGTGTGTGTTGGTAGGAGGAGTGGGACCTAAAATGCAATCTTCTTCTTTGAAGTCCTCGCTATTTGCCATAATCCATTCTTTGAGTAAGTGTGTGCCTATTATGCACTGGCGACATGCAAGGAAGGGGTTGTGGATATGGCAAACAAGCCAGCCGTGGCTGAGCTCTCTGTTCTTAGAACACACTACCTTACTTACTCTATCGTTAGGTCGTTGAGGATGGAGTTCAACTCTTATAAACCTTACTCATCTACACACCCAGAAGGACTCTGAGCACCTTCAGACACTCATGAACGTTAAATCAGGGTTGACAGACTTGGCCTTCATGGTAATTTTGCCACTCGCCTATGCGGGGAGAGGGAATACATGAGCTTTCCATGGCTGCCTTCAGAGTGGAGGTCATACGGTCTGGGATGTCGCATAACCTGCTGAGCTGATTTGCATGAAACATGTACTTAATTTATTAGACCAAATGCGGGCATGGCCTCAGACCAGATCTGAGCTCCCCCTCCCCAGACCAGCTACTGGGCTTCTCATCCTCCAACAGCTTGTTGTCAAATCGGCAAAAGGCTTGTAACTGAGGGGTTCACTGCTCAACTTCCACTTTTCTCACTCTGAGTCGAACTTGGTTTATTTTGCTAAGTATCCTTCAGAGGCCAGAAAGATTTGTGTTCTTGCCTTTCCTGGATTAAAGCGATGATCTCAGATGGAATTTATTTGCAAAGGGAAAGACACAATGCTTGAAAGCGGGGCAAAATTAAGACCTGTATCTTTGGCTCTTCGCTCTTTTTATCGATATGATTCACGGGTCCCTGGCAGTCATTTGGTCTTGCCTCTCCTCCCGCCTCTACCAGTCACTTGCCTGGTACTCTGCCAGCATAAAAAGCTCCTGACTTTGCCAGGCCCCTGTAAACAAAGGTGGCTGAACTGACCAGTGTGAGAGTAGTTGTCCTCAAGAGGGAGAAGGGATGAACAAAGCCACCACATAAAGGCTCTTTCACCATCTGCACCTGCCAGCTGACAAAGGGATGCTCCAGTCTCATCTGCTTCCCTGTTGGGGGGCTGGGTTCTCAAACTGACCACTCTTTATAGTCCGAAAGCTGAAAATTCTTAGAAATTGCATCCAAAAAGTGAGATGGGACACACCTCTACTTCCTTGATGGTCTTTGCAGACAACAGAAGGATGATGCCCACTCCAAGGCAGAACACGCCTGTGGCAAAAAAGCCGGAGAGGATTTTGTTGGCTGAGAGCTGTAGCCGGTAGGCGGGCAACTGCTGCTGCTTCACGGCACTGTTGTCTGGCAATCTGGACGGGCAGTCCTGGGATTTCCTCTTCATTGTGGTACTGCGGGTGACCCAGATATACTTTTGAGACATTTATAACATTACTGCTCAGAGTAATACCACATAATGGTAATATTGAGAATTACGTGAATCTTCCTTTGCACTCGCAAAGTCTTTCTGCTTTCTGGAATTATTTCTTAACCAGACCCGATTTCCACAGCTCCCTTCAATCAGCCATTGTTGGGTATGTTTTACGTAGGCTCAAAAAACTTGTTGTGCTAACTGCCATGCCTAGGAGGAAGAGTCTCCAGCAGGTCTGTATAAACCAACATCTGGCAACACTGGGAAGCAGTTACAACGGGCTATTTCTGGGACGTGGTGGCTAATTCAGGGCAACCCTTCCTGAAAGGGGGAAAATGGATTTATCCTTAAGAACTTGCCCAAATCCTTCAAGATTAATACAAATAATAGAAGTGAGTGCTGTCAGCTTTCCCCAAATGTGGCTGTCCTTTAACGTGAATATAAACTAAGTTGGGAAAATGCTCTCAGATTACAGCTAACTTTGCTCTTTGTGATAATGAGGAAGGGAGAAGCAAACAGGGATTGCAGAACACAGATGACTAATCTCAGTAGTTTCCAATTTTTTCATCCATAAGAAAGGCTCTGGCAGAAAGCGTGGATGAAAAACATCTCCTCCTAACCTTTCCTCAAGCACGCGCTTTGAAGTAGCCCAAATGATGCAAGAGAAAGGAAGAGCAAAATAGATAATCACTTAAATGTTCAATATTGCAATATGGTATTATTGGGGTTTTTTTTCACTTATTGGAAATCCACTAACATCATTTTCATTACGCTATTAATAATTACTTCCTCTTCAAGATGCATTTAAGATGTAGAATTAGGATTTTAAAAAAATTAGGTGGATGTGAGTTTCTAATTTTCCTTTTTCTATTAACATTCGGCAGAGAAGCCATATGTTGGACTATTTGTGTATTAAAGAAGACAATGACTTTGGCAAATCTACCTAGTTTAAAAGAATACAAAACAAATGCAATTACTTACACTGGGAGGTTTCCAATTCAGAGTCAAAGCTTCCCCTTGCAAAACTGGAAAAAAAGCAGAACACCCATGGGGACTTTTCAGCAAGCCATTTGAATCTGGCTTGGAGGTGGTGACGAGTATGGCTGTTGGTATCAGACAGATCTGTGTGAGAAGACGGCAGTGAACACTCGGAGTTCATATCTACTGTTTGTTTTATTAAATAAGCATGGTCAAGAACTTGAGTTTAAAAGGCAGCAACAGCCTGTGAGATTAGATTATGTGTGCAGAGTTGGCCTACAAAATATCGGGTATGTTTGCAATCTAGGTACTTGTTCCAACTTTGGGTGTGATTATAGTACATATGTAACACCTATCAGAAGGGTCATTACAGTAACAAATCAAGAACAGTATTTCTTAGGCTTTTTATAAAACAACAAAACCAACCTAACCAAAATCCCAAACTAAAAGGTGCTTCACAGGAGTATATTAGGGTTTTCCGGAGAAACAGAACCAATAGATCTAAATGTATATATAGATCTATCATAAAGAATTGGCTCACGTGATTACGGAGGAGGCTGGCAAGTCCAAAATCTGCAGAGCTGATGTCCCTCCAGTTTGAGTTTGAAGGCCAAAAGCTGCCATAGAACCAGGGAGAGCCGATGTCACAGTTTGAAGGTCATCAGGCAGGATGAGCCGATGTTTCAGTTGGAAGGCAGAATTCTCTCTTACTTGGGGGAGGGTCAGCCCCCAAAGGGCTAAGTTTAGCTATAGCTTGAATGAATTCTCATGCTGTGGTGGCTTTCTTTCTTTTTCCTTTAACTTGTTGAGCTTGAGCCAGAGTCCTGCAGGATGGAACGTGTTCCCCTATCCTTTGAATCCCCGTGTGTGGCTTCTAGCCCACAGAGGTGCACAAATAGCAAGTCGCTGGTGCGTGGAAGCATGTGATTTGCCGGAGTGTGATGTGCTACGCTGCTGGACTCCTTTAACATTTCACAATATTTGAATGTGCAACTTCATATACCAGTAGTGGCATCTGTTTGCTTTATTATCTCATTTGTTATATATGCCCGACTCCCCAGATAGATAACCATGGTGTCCTGAAGTGAATACAGGAGATCTGGGTTTGACTTCTGCTTCTGCTACTTAAAGTAGTGTGTGTCCTTTCTGAGATTCAGTTTAATCATCTATAAAATATAAAGACGTTTCCTCCAGAACTATTTTAATGATTAACTGTGACAGACTATATATATTCTTCTTAGGAAACTTGTATGCAATGTGGGATCCTTCACTGGATCCTGGAATAGAAAAAGGACATCAGTGGTAAAACTGGTATAATCCAAATAAAGTCTGTAGTTTAGTTAATTGTATTGTACCCATGTTGATTTCTTAGTTTTGATAACTGTACTACAGTTATACAAGACCTTAACATTGGGGGATGCTAGGGGAAGGGAATATGGAAATTCTTTATACTGTTTTTGCAGCATTTCTGTAAGTGTGAAATTATCTCAAAACAAAGAATTAAATAAATGAATAAGACAGTCGTAGTTACACTGTTGTCTTTTATTTGTTTACAAAGTGCCACATATCCTTGCAGCTCTTTCCACCAGCAGTACCACTGCCACCCTTCACACTGGGACTAGGCATCACAGTTTCAAATCTGTTCCACACATACCATCTCATGAAATCCTCAGCAATCCTGCAAGATAGTATTCCCATTTCACAGCTGATGAAACAGGCCCAGAGAGGGAAGGGGCTTGCCTGAGGCTGCCCAGATGCTCTTTCCCTCTCTTGTACAGTCACATCAGAAGCCAGTTGGTGAAAGAAAAACTCAGTCTGCTTAACAAAAATCACACACAAGCCAGTGATACTTTATTACACAAGGGAGTTGGCAAAGGACAGATTCATTTTTGTAAAAGAATCCCCACCTAAGATTCCCAGTGATCCATCTGGTGATACAATCAATTTAATAAAACAATAGCTGATATTTACCAACTGCTTGCAATGGGCCAGAGCCATGCAAATCCCACCATGAACACAGGAATTTTCATTAGGACCCAGACTTAGAAAAGGCCCAGCTTCAAAGATTCTGACTTGCATAGGCTCAGGACTCCCATTTCCAGAATTTCAAAAACCTCCTTTCTTATCTAAGTGAGAGAAAAGAAAAAAAAAGTTTAAGATCAAGAAAAGATGCTCTTGGTGAATAAATTCAACCATCTGGAGTCCCTGGTATTTATGCAGCTGTTATGGCCAGAATCAGGAAGAGCAAAACCTGCATTTTATTCAGAGTTGAAATATTTACGTAAGTAAAGGAAGCGGTACTATATAAGACATCAATTTCATTAAGATGTCCTTTTGTTTGTACAACATTCAACATAAAACCTCATAGAAAAATCTTTTTCAAAATATCCAAAGTGTGCCTATAGACTATACACAATATTTTAATGCAGGATAACTGTTAATAATGACATCATCACAATAAAAATAAGTATGGGTTAAAATGGTTTTTTTGAATACCATTTCTCCCTCATTATTATAATTAGAAAACTAGTGATGGTTTACTCAGGTTTAACATTATAACTGAAATAATCAAATATGACCTCATGTGCCTGACATCAAGTTGGTTAAATTAGTTTTAAAAAACCAGTCAGGGGGGCTTCCCTGGTGGCGCAGTGGTTGAGAGTCCGCCTGCCGATGCAGGGGACACGGGTTCGTGCCCTGGTCCGGGAAGATCCCACATGCCACGGAGCGGCTGGGCCCGTGAGCCATGGCCGCTGAGCCTGCGCGTCCGGAGCCTGTGCTCCGCAATGGGAGAGGCCACAACAGTGAGAGGCCCACGTACCGCAAAAAAAAAAACAACAAAAAAAACCAGTCAGGGAACTTCCCTGGTGGTGCAGTGGTTAAGAATCCTCCTGCTAATGCAGGGACATGGGTTCTAGCCCTGGTCCGGGAAGATCCCACATTTTGCGGAGCAACTGGGCCCATGCGCCACAACTACTGAGCCTTCACTCTAGAGCCCGCAAGCCACAACTACTGAGCACTTGTGCCACAACTACTTTAGCCTGTGCGCCTAGAGCCCGTGCTCCACAAGAGAAGCCACCGCAATGAGAAGCCCACGCACCGCAACAAAGAGTAGCCCCGCTTGCTGCAACTAGAGAAAGCCCGCGGGCAGCAACGAAGACCCAACGCAGCCAAAAATAAATAAATTAATTAAAAAAAAAAAAAAAACAGTTCAGGAGACTGTGTATGTGTATGTGTGTGTGTGTCTCTGTGTGTGTATGTGTATGTGTGTGTGCAGGGAAGTGAGAAAACGGTTTTTAGCTTAACTCGCCAGTCAATTATAATCAGGTTTGGTCATTCTGAGGATATAGTTTTATATAGTAAATTAATTCATTCAACATGTTTGGAGGAATGATTGCAAGCTTCTTTGATAGTTACTGCCGTGATTTATTTCTGGTTGGTGACTGGCAGCCACGTTTATTACTGCACAACCCTATTCTCTCCAATAGATACTTCTAAGCATCAGGCTAGATTGAAAGATTAGTTACATGATAACATGGTGGGTGGCAAATCAATTTTTCTTTCTTTTTTTTAAATTTAAATTTTTTTTTTTTTTTTTTGTGGTAGGTTGTGTCTCACTGTTGTGGCCTCTCCCGTTGCAGAGCACAGGCTCAGGACGCGCAGGCTCAGCGGCCATGGCTCAAAGGCCTAGCCGCTCCGCGGCATGTGGGATCTTCCCGGACTGGGGTACAAACCTGTGTCCCCTGCATCAGCAGGCAGACTCTCAACCACTGTGCCACCAGGGGAGCCCTTTAATTATTTTTTAAAATCTATTTTTAGCTGCATTGGGTCTTTGTTGCTGCATGTGGGCTTTCTCCAGTTGCGGACAGCAGGGGTACTCTTCGTTGTGGTGCACGGGCTTCTCATTGCCGTGGCTTCTCTTGTTGTGGAAAATGGGCTCTAGGTGCGTGGGCTTCCATAGTTGCAGCATGCGGGCCCTAGAGCACGTGGGCTTCAGTAGTTGTGGTGCACGGGCTTAGTTGCTCCGTGGCATGTGGGATCTTCCCAGACCTGGGCTCGAACCCGTGTCCCCTGCATGGGCAGGCAGATTCTCAACCACTGTGCCACCAGGGAAGTCCCTCAATTTTTCACATTATGATGATAATGGATTACTTTCATAAATATATAATGAGCTAATGCTGTTCCTATTCAGTATTCAATCGGTTTTAATCCATTGAGACATCAAAAAAATTTCCCCACTCCCCAAAACCAAAATAGCCCTCTAATTTAAGTAAGTGGGTTTTTGGGTACGTGGAGATGCAGGCAATGAGGCAAGTTTGTGCTCCCCCACCTCCAAGTACATTTATAAGGATGAAAAGGCAAAGACGATTATGTCTCTAAAACAAGGCACAGGGAAATATGCCAAGTCCTCTAGATCTTCCAGTGGCAGAGGCCACTGGTCATTTAATGAAGAAAAAAAGCTGATTCCTATAAAACACATGGAAAGGATACAGTTATGTGTAAGGGGTGAGATGGTCTCTATAATTGTAGTTACTTCAGAGTTAAAAGAAATAATTTCAAAGGCCAGAATGTGCTGGTTCCCCATGTCAAAGACTTTACTGCTGTGTTTGAACTCAAGTTCAGATTGAAAAAAAAAAAAGATTAAAGGCAATTGCTGGATTGCTAGTAACATGGTACCTCGGGAATGTCCATCATCCTTCTCAACTTCTGATCTCTCCAATTCCAGTCAAAAACCAGAAACTTTAAGGGGTTCAAATTAAGGCCACCTGAAAGAGACAGGGAGAGAGTTGCTACATTAAAGAACTTATGACATAAGCTTATTAAAATGATTTTTTATTCCTCTGGTTGCTTTTTTGCCTCATTTGCTCTTTTTTCCCCCAGCAACTAATCTCTGCACGTTAAATGCTGTCCCTGTCTGATGGAAAACAAATGCAGCACTCAGAGACTTACTCTCCTTACAATCTTATCACTGATTCTCAGCGAAGCAGGGAAGCTGCTCTTGCTAAGCTCGTGAAATGCTCAAGTTCTGGCAAAGAATCAATCCCAAGCCTCCATTTCATGAAGCCCCAGAGGGTAAAGTGTCATTCCCGACAGGGATTTGATAAGACATATCCTTGCAATTTGGGATAGTGACCCTTCAGAGGAGTTGAATCCAACGGAGTCTGCGTGACTCTGAAGAGGTGAGTCGGCAGAAGGATGAGGACAGGGTTGGGAGGTTAATTTCAGGCAAAAAGGAAAATTAAGATGAATGGGCTCTATTCAAAGCCTGCTATCCTTTGAGGAGACTGGTAAACCACTTAAGGACTCATTCCTGCTGTCTTCCTGTGTATCTAGAGACAATTATGGAGTGTGGGGCTGGAGGGGACCTCAGGGGATGTCTGTTCCTCAGAGGTCTCAGAGTTGGGCAGTTAGTTTTTCCCATTCTACACGTTCTGCCCACTGCCCCAAGCTATCACACCTGGAAACATAATGAAGCCTTCCTTTATCCTTCAGCACTTCCCCTCAATATTGGCTATTTCAATAATTTCCCCTCTGCCCTAAAGACTTTTTCATGCTTCTTATAACTACAATGCCTCTTATTTAGAACTCTCTCTGTAAATTAAAAATGATGGAAATTAAGAAAGACAATGGGTTGATAGTGTTCCCTTAAAAATAATTGACTGCTGGGCTTCCCTGGTGGCGCAGTGGTTGAGAGTCTGCCTGCCGTTGTAGGGGACACGGGTTCGTGCCCCGGTCCAGGAAGATCCCACATGCCGCGCAGCGGCTAGGCCCGTGAGCCATGGCCGCTAAGCCTGCGCATCTGGAGCCTGTGCTCTGCAGCGGGAGAGGCCACAACAATGAGAGGCCCGCGTACTGCACAAAAACCCCAAAAAACAAAAACAAAACAAAAAAAATAATTGACTGCTGATGGGACAGCAAACAGGTACAGCCTCTCTGGAAGGCAACTGGACATTATATAATAGGAGCTTTAAAATGCTTACTGTTTGATAAAATAATTCTCCTTCTCTGACATATCCCAATAAAACACCAGAAACTTAAGCATAGTTACTTATAAAGATGATCACTGTGTATTACTTATAATAGCAAAACAAATTAGAAACAACCCAAATATCCTACCATAATAGAATTGCTAAACACCAATATAACTTGGGGTCAATATCCAAAATATATAAAGAACTCATACAACTCAAGGGCAAAAAACCAAATGATTTGGGGCTTCCCTGGTGGCGCAGTGGTTGACAGTCTGCCTGCCGATGCAGGGGACATGGGTTCGTGCCCCGGTCCGGGAAGATCCTACGTGCCGCAGAGCGGCTAGGCCCGTGAGCCATGGCCGCTGAGCCTGCGCGTCCGGAGCCTGTGCTCCACAACGGGAGAGGCCACAGCAGTGAGAGGCCCGCATACCGCAAAAAACAAACAAACAACCCCCCCCCCAACCAAAACCCCCAAATGATTTGATTTAAAAATGGGTGGAGGAACTGAATATACAGTTTTTCCAAAGGAGACATCCAAATGGCCAATAAGTACATGAAAAGGAGCTCAACATCACTAATCATCAGGGAAACACAAATCAAAACCACAATGAGTTATCACCTCATACCCGTTAGAATGACTTATCAAAAAGACAGGAGATAACAAGTACAGGCAAGGTTATGGAGAAAAAGGAACTTGTGTACTGCTGGTGGGATTGTAAATTTGTGCAGTCATTATGGAAAACAGTATAGAGGTTTCTCTAAAAATTAAAAATAGAACTACCCTATGATCCAGCAACTCCACTTCTGGGTATATATCCAAAGGAAATGAAATCACTGTCTTGAAAAGATATCTGTACCTCCCATGTTCACTGCTACATTAATTCCAAAAGCCAAGATTTGGAAACAACCTAAGTGTCCATTGACAAATGAATATATAAAGAATATGTCACACACACACACACAAACACAGCAATATCATTCAGCCATAAAAAAGAAGAAAATCCTGCCACTTGTGACAACGTGGAGGGACCTTGACAGCATTATACTAAGTGAAATAAGTCAGATAGAGAAAGACAAATACTGTATGATCTTACATATATGTGGAATCTAAAAAAAAACAAAAAACAAAAATGAACTCATAGGTACAGAGAACAGATTGGTGCTGGGTGCCAGAGGTAAGAGGTGGGAGAAATAGATGAAGGTGGTCAAAAGGTAAAAACTTCCAGTTATAAGATAAATAAGTGCTGGGGATGTAAAGTACAGCATGGTGAGTATAGTTAACAATGCTGTACTGTATATGTGAAAGTTGCTAAGACAGTAGATCCTAAAAGTTCTCATGACAAGAAAAAAAATTGTAACGATATGAAGTGACTGATGTTAACTAAACGTACTGTAGTAATCACTTTACACATCACATATACCAAATCATGTTGTACACCTTGGCCAATATAATGTTGTATGTCAATTATATCTCAACAAACTGGGAAAAACCTCAATAGAATATTATGCAGCCATTAAAAATGAAAAATTAAAACTATTTGATGACAAGCAAAGTTCTCATGGGATACAGTAAGTAGAGAAGACAGGTTATAAAGTTATGATATGCAGTATGATCTCCATTTATAAAAAATGTAGATAAATGCATAGAAAAAAGACTGAAAGGAAATATATTTAATATTAACTAACAAGACATTACCTCTAAAGTGACCTATTTTCTTTTCTGTACCTTTTTGCATTTTACAAAGGCTCTTATAATTAGAAAATCCCTTTCCTTATTAAATAAAACAATACAATTCTGTCTGTAAGTGTACTGATCCCAATGTTATGGAATACCTTTTGATGTTTGGAAACTCTCCTTAATATATCATATATATAAACATCTTAAGTCATAAACAGCTATATAAAATGAGTTATGTGCCATTTGTCTTGCTTTGTTAGACTTTCAGTTTTTGGAGCGCTGGAATTGTTCTCTTTAAACACTTTGTATGTAGCCTAACATCTGTAGTCAATGAATATTAAACCATTCATCCAATCAGAATCAGAAGAGTTATTTTCATTAGTATTATAAATAAATCAACAGCTCCTTAAATGATTTTTCCACTCCTTAGATGAAATAAGCTTTCACAGTGAGTTTTCAAAACTCTGTAGAAATATAATTTCAACAGTCTGGACAACTTCGTTTTCTCTCTCTCTCTCTCTCTCTTTTAAATATTAAATATGGAGAAGAGTGGCCCTGTTGCCTGCGGGAGCTGGCGGCACATACAAAACATGTGGAATCCAGGAAGGGGAGAGGTGAGTCTTTGGCTAAGAGCTGTGGGAGAGGGAGGGCGCATCTCTGGACTCCCAGCTGCCCAGCCAATCTCTCCCACCTCCGCGTCTCATGGATGGACTATGAGCACCTCTCACCTGCGCCTTCGCTTCCAACACCCTCCTAGGGCCACAAGACAAAAATCCAGCCAATCACTGTGCAAGGGCCTTCCTCCAAAATCTGACTTTCTTTCCAACTGAAGCACAGGCTACCACAGCCCACGAAGTCTCCAACCAAGAAAAGTGGTCTCTTTAATAAAAGTAATAACTAGTATCTGTTGAGTTCTTAAGGTGTAACACTCACCGTGTTTAGCTTTTTATTGGCATAACAATCATTTGAGGTAGGTGCTATTACTATCTATGGCATTCAGATAAAGAAACAGTTTTAGAAAGGTTAAGAAACCTGCCAAGTCACAGAGCTGGTAAGCTGCTGGACCTGGGATTTGCATCCATAGATTTGAGTCTATAATAGGGGCTCTTAACCTCAACACGTATTGACTATTTATTGTCTCCTTTGGATATACCCCATGTATCTGCCTGCCTGCTTTTGATTCAGCTGTTGTCCCATTCCTGAATGCTTTTCTCACATCTCCATACTTTAAAGTATATTAAAAAGATCCTATTTTAATCCTACCCATACTTCAAAGATCAGTTAAAGATCCTTTCCTCTGTAAAGACTTCCCTGCAGATTCAGCCACCATAACAATCTCTCCCTCATTTCAACTCCTGTAGGACTTAGAAGTGCTTGTTTGGACCTTGGCATTTACTGCCTCATGTCGTCAGTCTCATCTTATGCACATTTATCTCTTCAATTGGATCAGGAGCTCCTGGAGGGGGAAAGCCTCTGGAACCAGGAAGGCCTAGAATGAGAAATCTTGGAAGGGGCTACATGACCCTCCAAGCTTCAGTTTTCTCTCATAAGAAATAAGAATACTAGCCTGCAAGGATGCTTTGAGTACTAAATGAGATATGTGAGGGTGTCTAGCACAGCACTGAGTACAAGTAGGAACTCAAAAAATATTTGTTTCCCTTCCTTGCCTGGGGCCACTAAGTTTGCTACTTCCTTGTAATTGCACACACCTCTGCATATAGTGTTTTCACTTACCCAAGGTCTTCATCTGGAGAGAAACACTAGTAATTTTAGCTCTTGTTTGCTTCCTTGCAAATGGCCATCTCTATACTGAGATATTATATTGATGAACACGTTACTTTTAGATACGTAAAAATCCAGGAATAGCTCCAGGCAGTTATAAAATAAAGTTGTTAAACAAGTAATTTGGAAATGAGTATTTAAAAGAAACCTTTAATCTGTCTGGCAGGTAAGGTAGAACATGTACTAAGATCATCAGCAGGTCAGCAGGTTTTTAGGTTACTGGCTTTGAGAAGGTCAACAAACTATAAAAACCCACCGGTGGGGTTTCCCTGGTGGCACAGTGGTTGAGAGTCCGCCTGCCGATGCAGGGGACACGGGTTCGTGCCCCGGTCTGGGAGGATCCCACATGCTGCGGAGCGGCTGGGCCCATGAGCCATGGCCTCTGAGCCTGCACGTCCGGAGCCTGTGCTCCGCAATGGGAGAGGCCACAGCAGTGAGAGGCCCGCGTACCGCAAAACAAAAACAAAAACAAAAAAAAACCCACTGGTGGATGACGTCTGGAATACTTTCTGGGTAAAGCACTAAAAGAGAAACACATTCGCAAGAAGTGTTCTACAGTGCTTGTATTTCATCCATAGAAACTGCATTTTTGTTTCAACATATCTTCTATACCAGCCCTCAATTGGAATGGGAGTCTTGGGGAGCCGAGACTCAATTAAGTGAGAGGGAAATATTCAACACATTCAGCTATACAAATTCCGGAGGCTGCAAATCGGTGGAATAGATTATGGACCCATTAAACTGCTTAAAGCAACTGGAATTTGAATGTATTTAGATGGGCATAAGTACCGCAGTTTGCCACAGTCCTTATCATTCCCTATTGTACTACACCTACTGGCTGGCTTTAGGGACTAAAGGCTAAGTTTCCAACTCCTGAATTAACACAGAGGTCTGATTTCACTACATCACACATGTGGTTTCCCAAACTCACATGGGCGTTAGGCAAACACTCAGCTCTGAGTAGGACTATCACTACCTCTTTTCATACCTTGTTTAATGAGTTCTTTAATCCTCCCTGGAGTTCCTACACCCAGGTGTACCACACGCTTCTCCAGCAATTTTACCTGCTCCTGGACCTATTCCAAAATGGAAGAGAACAAAGAAAAGAAGAGTCATTGGAAAGTTCAATCATAGTCCAATTTAGAGCATTTAATCTAAAAGCTAAGAAAGTAAAAAAGCAAAAGGGGCTACTCTTGTTTAGGGTCAACTTCCAGGGCAAAGAAGGTTAACATCAAGACAGAAGAGCATCTCCCCGGGAAACTGGTTAAGTCTCCAAAGAGTCCAGGGCTCAAACCTCAGCTTCCGTACAGAAACCTCAGAGCACAGAGGAGTAGTGACTGTTGTGGGAGCAGAGGCAGGGAACACAAAGAAAATCGGAACGGTCGTTCAATATGTTACAAAAGGAAGGCACCAAAGAACATGCTTCCTAAGGAGATACGGAAAAGAGGCTGAAGTGAAACAACCGAGGTCTGGAAGTGGCCCTTAAGGATCACTTCCATCCCCAACTAGGAACCACAGGCCCTTGCTTACCTTTATGTGTTTTGCGAATAATTTCATGACTTTGCTGTCTCCTCTGAATGCGGTCATTGACCTGATGAAAAGCAATAGATTTATGCAGAAGAAAAATCACTCATTCAGGGCCATGTGGACCACTTATTACATCTTAAGTATTACACCATATTTATTCAAAATAATATGCACATTTATGTGTGTCTATATGTACATATGTATGTGGATAGATATGCACACACAAAATTCTGATTTTCAGGTTAGTCCATCTCTGGAATGAAAGTGGGGTGGCCTTTAATCAGGCATGCATCTGGGTTGGCTTCTAAGTCTCAGGTACACGGTTAACTTTACTTAGGTTTCCTTGATTATTGAAACATGTGGATTTGCCCTTCACTTGTGTTAAAATGAAAACCACAGTCCCAAAATGGTGTCACTCATGCTAAAAGCCCATGATACCAAAACCCAGATTTAATACTTCATCTAATTGCAGTTTCAACTTTTCTGAGAAATGTAATCTTAATCAACCAGTCTGGAATCTCTGGTCAAGCACCAGTAAGGTAATCTGTCCTGTGGGCCCTTTCCATACCAGAGAGGAACATAAAACCCTTGCCATTTCCTCCCCCCCCACCACCACGCAAAAGAAGATGTCATGGCCTAAAACGTAGTCTTTCTTTTCTTTTGTTAATGGCTCCGTTGCTCCACCCTTTTTCCTTTCTTTTCTGGCTGCGCTGTGCAGCATGTGGGATCTTAGTTCCTGACCAGGGATCGAACCCGTGCCCCCTGCATTGGGAGCGCAGAGTCTTAACCACTGCCAGGGAAGTCCCTCCACCCTTTCTCCTATTAAAAACTTTCATTTTGCACAACCCCTCGGAGTGCCCTTCTAGTTGCTGGCTGGGTGCTGCCTGATTCATGAATCATTGAGTTAAGCCAATGTGATCTTCAAATTTACTTGGTTGAATTTTGTTTTTTAACACCTGTAATACAAAAGTTCTGTATTTTAGGTCCCTGGCAGAGAATTTATCTTCAAACTCTGCAGTATAGTTCCTATAAAAAAATTGTTTGTGAGAAATATCTTAGCAGTGATGTCAGCCTGTGCTCTACAGAGCCCAAGGGCATGTACGAAGGTCTGTGTGTGGCTGCCCTGCGGGGACAGGGATAAGCTAGCAGGGAGAAGCAGGAGGGCTTATGTCCTTCATTCAGACCAGTCCCCCTACTTTTATGGACTTTGCAGAGTGAGCTTATCTGTAAAATCTTACATGTGGAAATGCTTCGGGTATAAATGGGTATAAAATGGGTATAAAAGAACAATCTTCTGGTTGATGTTTGGGAATAGAATATGGGAATACTGTTCAGAATATTACTTTCCTTTATATATCATTAATATGCTTGAGAAATATTACCGACCAGTAGGAATAAATGAATTTACAAAATAGTGACTCATGCTACACACGTTCTGTTGCACTCGAGTCTGTACTTACACATGAGCTTTCTCCATGGCGAGGTTAACTAAGGAGACAATGGGGCAACTAAGGGACATATTTAACATGATTCATGGTTCTCAAGAGAACAGATATTCTTACAAAAGTTAGAATTATTCAATATTAGCCTTTATGAATAGGGTTTGTTATGCCTGCTCAGAAATCACCTTCTGCAAATCACCTAACCTTGAAATGGATCATAATATTACTGAAGACATAAAGAAACACTGAGAATTGGCAAATGAAGTACGACAACATAGTCCTTCTATGCCCATCAGAAAGGCATTTATGTACGGTAAAAACTCAAATCAATGTGACAACTTGTTTTTAAGAGGCCACCTCCAGGCCAACTTCTTTGCCATTAGTGTTTGAATCTGAAATGAGTTCTGTGGGTAGTCTTTAAAACACTGAAATGTCAATGTGAATTCTTATGATTTCAGAACCAGCAAGTACGGCTGCCCAGAAGCAGCTGGAGTCTTGAAGATCAATTATGTTTGGAGCAGAAATAGTTAAAAGAAACACTTTCGTTTTATTGAAAGGGTGTGTGATACAATTTAACGTGTGTGCCTAGCAGAAAGGTTCTGAAGGACGATTAACAAAGCTTAAAAAACTACTTTTCTAAATTCATGGTCAGATTAGCTCATTTAGAAAAATAGATGCTAAATAACTACCGAGAGTCTACTTTGCACATTAATCTATTTGATCAAGTTCCTTTTTCTTTAGGACTTGGATTTTCCTGTTTTGTCTCTGGTCAAAGCCCAGTGCAGAGCCTGGCCTTGGGAGAGGGTGAGTCCCAGGAAATCCCATTTTACTCTGACAGCTCTTCTCTGAAAGCTGAACGCTACTACAGATCCAGTGGAAGCCTTTTTGTTTATTCTACAAAAGCTACAGTAAATGAAAAGGTATGTGAAGGCACTTAGTAAAGCACCGACAAACTGTCTTTAAAACATAATTTTCACATATAAATTTTTGGTCCACTTGGCATTTATCTCGGTATAAGGAGTGAGATATGGAACACAGCTTAATTTTTTAGATGGCTACCCAGTTGTTCCAATACCAATTATTAAATAATCCATCTTTCCCTACAGATTTTTCACTTTTGCCATATCCTGTACTTTCATATGCATATGGGTCTATTTCTGAACTTTCAGTTCTGTTCCACTGTTCTGATCTGTCACACATGTGCCAGTTCCATACTCTTAATTATTGAGACTTTGTAATATGTTTTTTTTAAAAAAATCTGATAGATACTATAGGCATAGTATCCTCACTAGTATTCTTTTTTAGAATTTCGCCAGCTATTTTTCTTCTGTATTTTCTCATATGAACATAGAACTAGTTTATCTAGTTTAAAAAACAATTCTATAGGAGTTTCATTGGGAATCTGTGAAATTTGTAGATTATTCTAGGTAAAACAGACATCTTTACGTTGAATCTTCCTATTCAACAATATCGTACTCCTTTCTGTTTAAGATCTGCTGCATCCCTTATGCAATATTTTCTTCATCTAAATTTTGGCTAGTTTTTTCCTTGGCGTTCTATTTTTTCTTGTTACTATTTTAAATTAGATCTTTTCTTTCATTTATTTCTCCAACTGGTTATTGCTTGTATGATCTCCCTGCTTTACCCTTGTGTGTTCTCCACACAGCAGCCAAAGTGATCCTTTAGAATGATTATTCAGATCATGTGACTTCTCTGCTCAAAATCCTCCAATGGCACTCCATGTCAGGGCCTTTTGTACCTATGTCCCCTCTGCCTGGAACACTTTTCTTCCAGATATCTGCTTGGCGTTCTCATTCACTTTGTTTAAGTCTCTGCTCATAGGTCAATCTCCTAAGAGGCTTTCTGTGACTACCCTTTTAAAAGTAGCCCCCATCTTTTTCTATCCATTTGCCATGCTTTATTTTTTTTCCTACATAACTTATCACTACTTGACATTATAATGCATATTTATTTGTTTATTGTCTGCCTCCCTTACTGGAAAGTAGGTTCCATGAGAGAGGGGACTCTGTATATTTTATTTATTGCTGCTCTCCAGCATATAGAACCTGTCAGCTCGGCACATATCAGTTACTCAGAAAACAGTTACGAAATGGAACAGGTGAAGCTTTCAACCTAATGAGCTCCAGGGCTCGGATGGCAGAGCCACAGATAATCAGCATCAGGACCGATTTCTTCTCACTGTGGTTTTTCCGAAGTTTCACCCATTTAGGGCAGACTGAAAAAAGACGATGAGAAAAATATTACCCTAAATATAGCAAAATAAAGCCTCCAAAGTTGAATATCCCCCAATTACTTCTTTGTTATTGCTTAAGTAAAATAAAATATGAGCACTGTTTAGATTCTATTCTCTGGTTATTCTAGATATTAAACTAAAATGAAATATCATTAACTTATACCACAAAACATATAATATGCCAAGTAGCTAAATGTGACCACTTTTAGGACTAAGTTTGTACAAAAATAAAAGGAAAATTTAAAAAGTTTGTAATAATACAACATTTTCTATATTTTAATTTATGTTTGTTTTTTAAAGGCAGTGTTGACTAAACGGGAAAAGAACTGATTTAAAAATGCTACATTTGGGGGCTTCCCTGGTGGCGCAGTGGTTGAGAATCTGCCTGCCGATGCAGGGGACACGGGCTCGTGCCCCGATCCGGGAAGATCCCCACATGCCGCAGAGCGGCTGGGCCCGTGAGCCATGGCCGCTGAGCCTGCGCATCTGGAGCCTATGCTCCGCAATGGGAGAGGCCACAACAGTGAGAGGCCCCTGTACCACAAAAAAAAAAAAACAATAAAAAAAATAAAAATGCTACATTTTAAGGACTTCCCTGGTGGTACAGTGGTTAACAATCCGCCTGCCAATGCAGGGGACACAGGTTCGAGCCCTGGTTCGGGAAGATCCCACATGCTGCGGAGCAACTAAGCCCGTGCGCCACAACTACAGAGCCTGCTCTCTAGAGCCCGCGAGCCACAACTACTGGGCTCACGTGCCACAACTATTGAAGCCCACGCGCCCAGAGCCCGTGCTCTGCAACAAAGAGAAGCCATCACAATGAGAAGCCCGCGCACCGCAAGGAAGAGTAGTCCCCGCTCACGGCAGCTAGAGAAAGCGTGAGTGCAGCAACAAAGACCCAACGCAGCCAAAAATAAATAAATAAATAATGCTTCATTTTAAAGGGACACTCAGCATAAGATATAAAATGGAAATGATATTAAAACAGCAAACATTTATTAAACACTGATACTGTGCTATGCACTTTACATAACTTTTTTAGTTCTCATAATCCATTGAGATTGATTCCATTATTACCTACATTTACATTTGCTGAATTTGAGGCTAAGAAAGGTTTATGAACTCAAGCTGAGTGTCATCAGAATTGGTTAGAATTTGAAAAAGGAATGTTAAATCACCATGTCTAAACTATTTCATTGTTGGTCACAATAAATGACTACCTAGCATGAATAATCTAGTTATTACTGCCTACATTCAATCGAAAAGATCAAATTAGATTGTCTGTGCAATAGCCATGGTCTGAATTCTGAACATGGGAACAGAATTTCAGAACCTCAGAGATGGGTTCAAGATCACATAGTCCAACTTCCTTGTCTTTCAGATAACAAAATAGAGTCCTGGAGGAGTCCTCAGTGACTTGTGCCAAGTCAAATAGCAAATTGATGGGGTACCTGCAACTAGAACACTGAGAATTCTCTGGATTCCAGGAGCAATACTTCTAATGTGTTGTAAAACAAAAACAAGACCAAAACCCAAATCCCCAATACCAGAGAGAAACAAGAATAAATTTAAATAAATAAAAATTAATAACAAGATGGACCTAAAAAACCTTCATTTAAGATCCATTTAAGATGGAAACTTGATTTTAAATGAAGTTTTAAAAGTTTTTATTTTAAAGAGATACATCTAATGTTTTAATGGAAATAATAAAACTTGATGAATAATTTTTTAAAAAATGAGTTTACTTACTTTCTTTTAGATATGATGAAAGACTGTGAGTCAAATCATTGGCCTTGAGGAAGCAGGAGTCTAGAAATACGAGAAACATGCTTTGTAGAGGATTTCGCAAACACATACTCAAAATAGATTACATGTGAATGGTGTATTCTTGAATAGGTTGTACAACATTAATGAATTGGGGACTCATATATTTTAAAGTTGTCTAGCATTTAAAACAACAGCAGCAGCAACAATAAGTAAACTTTAAACTGTCCATCATTTCTTAGAGTAGTGAAACAGAAGCTTGTATCATTCAATGGACTAATGAAGCATCTTTATTTTCAAATCCATGGAATAGGCAATATACAAAGGCAAAGCTGAAATAGCTAACAAATCTATGTGGAGATGCTCAAACTCGTCATCATAGAAATGCAAATTAATACAAAATGAGATAACACTTTGCACACACTTTAGAATGGCAACTGTTAGAAAGATATATATACCAAGTGTTGCTGAGAATGTAGGATGATGGAAGCTCTTTGTGAACTGTAGGTAGAGGTGTAAAGTGGTATCGCTATCCTGGATGGTAGTAAAATTAAGGTGTTTATACCCTATGACCCCAGGATTACATTCCTGAGTAAATAATGGAAAGAAATTCTTGTGTAGTCTGTAAAGAGACATACTCAAGTATATTCATACTAGCATTATTTGTAATATTGGGGAACTAGAAGCAACCTAAAGGTCCATATCGGAGAAAACAGATGAGCAACATGTGGTCAATGAAATCATTGGAATACTATGTAGCATTTTAGAAGCAATGAAGTAGATGTACTTAAAGCTATACAGGTATCTTGAAAAAGTGCTAAGTGAGGAAAGAAACAGAATGAGAGGTTCAGCACAACATCATTTAAATAAATTGTAAAATGTATCCACACACAACAATATGATATATTTTACAAGAACATATGCATATTTAAAAAGGTATAGTAACATTATGCCTATGGAGAAAGGAATTTGGAGTGTGGATGGGGAAAAGAGGGAATAATGCATCAAAATACAACATTAACATAACACAGCACAACAACACAATGAAAGAATGGAACGGGCTACAATAAAACATAGGAGCCTTGCTCAACCAACAATGATCATGGTCTAGCAATTATGTAGTATTATTAACTCTGTACCTAAGATGTATAAAAAAGCAACATAATGTTTAGCATCCTAATTCATTATAGCAGAAGAAGTCTGTCTATAAACATAGCAGTGTGTTAGGGAGTAAACTATCACTAAATTAAATGAAACTTATGCTGTGCCCCAGCATATATAACTCACAATATGTGAGTAACCAACTTCAAAGATGTTGCCCCCTATACTGTTGTTGAGCCTTTGATGGTCTTTAAAACTGTAATCTCCCAAGCCTGGATATGACCAGACTCACCTGGAGAACTTTACAAAAAATACAGATTCCTGGAATGGACTCCCCCTTGCTCAATGAGTCAGAATTCCTTGGGGCTGGGCCTGGGAATTTGCTTTTTAAGTTCCTGGGTGATTCAGTTGCGGCTAGCTTACAGGCATTTAGCACTGATCTAAACCACACTGCAGCTCTCAGGAGGACAGCTGAGTTAGCTCTAAGTGATTCCTGCCTCAAAACTCTAATTAAGTTCCCATGTGTATGACATTAACAATGTACATGCACAGTATTAATTGAAAAGACATGTTGCTGCCCTACAGACACAAACAACTTCAAACCACAACCAAGTTAGACACTCAGCAAACTAAATAGGAACAATATTTTATTACTTATATCCATCTTGTATTTATGCCCCTTCCTGAGACTGTTCCAGATAGCCCATGGCGTGCCCCTCCTCTCAAATAACAGAGACCTCCTCTGTGTCCTTGGTCCTGACAGTGTAGTGATGGGTGTTTTCTCTAAAACCTTCTTATGATGCCTTTGTTCACTGTTGCTCAGAATGGCCTAATTTCTTAACTGAAAATGAAAACCTGTTCCTTTTGGCTATAGCAGTATTTTTAACATATTTTAAACATTTTCCCCTCAGCCAACCATGACCACACATTCTTGCCTAACTATATTACTGCACTCTAATGATGATATAATATAATGTAAACTCAGTATGGAAATCAAATGACTCCTTAAAGGCTTTTTCTTCTGACTTTTGACTCTCTACAATTCTAGCAAATTACAATGTTCCATGAGGTTACAGAGTAGCAGTGGTCCCATTATCTTACAAGTCCTTATTCAGGTGAAGGCAAACTCTAACAAAGAACTAGAAGGGAAAATTGACCACTGAGTCAGAGTAAAATCAAACTTCAGTTAAACATTGAAGAGGCTTTGTTATAATACCTGGTTCCTGAGGATAGAAGAGCCAGGACCTAACTCTCCTCCTGAGGAGCTGCTGTGCTGAGAAGAGTGGTTTCTAACTGCTGTTGGGCTTTCTGATCTCAGTAAGTAGAAAACTCCAGAACTCGCTCATGTGGAAATGGGTTCCTTCAATTCCCTAAAGGGTGTTCCTTTTGGAAAAGGAACAGACAGGGGTACTGATGTCTCCAACCCAACGTGCATTTAAAACACATACACACACACACACACACACACACACACACACACATCATTTTATGAAAGAGTTATAAAAATTCAGGGTATGGGATGTTTTTCAGCTTCTCAAGCCTCTAGAAAGCATAAAGTTGTAATGGAAAAAGGAAATCAAGCTACCCTTGACTTTTTCCAAAAGCAGTGTTAGATATCTCTAGTAGTCTATATATAGAGAGCTCATCTGAAGCAGTGGTGCACAAACCCTCTGCAGTTTGATTTTATGACATCTTTTCTTCAATCTCTGCAAAAGAGTTACAGGTTATACCATTATTTTGAAATTAATTAAAACTGGTTTTTAAAATAATTTTCCAATATCTTTTAACTTAATTATAAATATCTAAGGCAGTAGATCTCAAATGATAATAGGCTTAAGAATCACACAGGGCTTCCCTGGTGGCGCAGTGGTGGAGGGTCCGCCTGCCAATGCAGGGGACACGGGTTCGTGCCCCGGTCCAGGAAGATCCCACATGCCGCGGAGCGACTGGGCCCATGAGTCATGGCCGCTGGGCCTGCGCGTCCGGAGCCTGCGCTCTGCGGCGGGAGAGGCCACAGCAGTGAGAGGCCCATGTACCGCAAAAAAAAAAAAAAAAAGAATCACACAGGGTGAGGTGTCAGCCTTGCTAAAAATGCAGAATTTTGTCCCTATCTTTAGATGGTTTACTTGAAAAAAGTCTTGACTGGGACCCAAAATACTACCCTAAAAGCAAAACCATGACTAGATATCCATGATAAGGGCAACAACAAAACTAAGATGTTATTAAAGCTAAAGTTTTTATCTATAAAGGATGAGTAAATTAATTATCTATACTTTTGAATGTGTGCTTTATCTTTTTTTAATTTAACTTCTATCCTCATTAAAATTCTTATTCATTGAAGAATCTGTCCAAAAAAATGTACACCCAATACCTTTTGAATAAAAATTACAAATCCTTCTATTAGACTGAACGAATACCAGTTAGCATCTGAATGAAGAAATCATCCAACAGTTAAAACTATTAGGTTGAGGAAAGGAGTACTAGCACGTGGAAATATATTAATTAGAAGGAGTAACAACAAGGAAGCCTGGCTGTACCTGGTAGGGTTAGTTCTTCTAATTCAATCACTGAGCGGTTGCTGCTATAATAGTCTTTCATCAGCTTCTGTAGGTCTTCAGGTGTCCCTGGTTTTGGCTCTGATTTTGCAAGAACATCAGTAATTTTCTTCTGATGAGAAAGAAGTAAAAATGGGAAGACAGATTTTAGGATGGCATTTGGCTTAGGATAGGTTGATTCCTCTGGCATTTAAACTGTAAGTAGGTTCTGTGATAGCCAAGTGTGAATGGGAGTTCTAATAAACACACTTGAGAAAACTTAAAAGATACTTCTTGGACATAACTACTGCTTTGAAAAATGAATGGATGATCTAAAAGACTCCTTATAACTCTTGGTCTCTGCTAGTAGAACTAAAAATTTTGCAGGAGTCTATAATAGGCTACAATTTTCTGTTAAAAGTCAATAAATCTTGTTGCTTGTGGAAACCTCCTTTTAAGCCTCAGAAAATGTGTATTCCTGGGAGAGTAGAATTTTGAGAATTTCTTGTGTAACCTGGTTCTTAAGGCACTGAGTCTCAGTTTGGATTTCTGGGATTAAAGTAAGAGTTGCAGGACTAATCTCAGCAAAGGAGGACACTAAATAGGGGCACTTGAGACCCTCAATTCTCAAGTCTTGGGAGAGACATCTTGAATTGGCCCTATGGAAAGCAGAACAGGATACTTTACAACATCTATTTTGATTTGGACTTATTTGTGTAGCATTTACTGAATGTCTGCAATGTACTAGGAATGCACAATTGTTCATTTAACTTTCATCATAAACTTCCCTTCTTATTTCTTCCTAGTATTTCACCAAAAATCCAGAAAGAGCCCTTCCTTGCCTTCTACCCCAGCTTTTCCCCCCTCCTTCCATACTATCTTCCTTTTCATACCACTGCCAAGAACGGTCAAAGTTCTGTCAAATGAATTAACTTTAAAAGAACACGTCATCCGTGGGCACATTTTAGCATGACCTCAGCCAAGGCTAAACTAGCTAGCTGGAGTTCTGACCTTGAACCCCAAGAACTTAACACTCCTGAAGGCCATTAGTGTCAAACTATCAAAGAGAAGTTAAAAGTCGTTTCTTTAAGGACTTGCCAAAACTCAGCCAATTTGGCATTTCCCATCCTCCTATTTGGCCATGTGCAGGCAAGGAAAACATATGCACACACACTCTGTTTTCTAAAAGCTTGCTGTTAAGTAATTGGTTTGAGTCCATCTTGTTTCCTCTAATCCCAATCGCATTTCCTCTGCTGACTACAGCAGTAGACCCTTCTTGGCAGGGAGAGAATTACATTGCTGTTTTGACAACTGTGGTGGAAGGTCAAAGCTAACCACACTTTCGGGCTTCCCTGGTGGTGCAGTGGTTAAGAATCCACCTGCCAACGCAGGGGACACAGGTTCGAACCCTGGTCCACGAAGATCCCACATGCCACGGAGCAACTAAGCCCGTGTGCCACAACTACTGAGCCTGTGCTCTAGAGCCCACGTGCCACAAATACCGTAAGCCTGGGTGCCTACAGCCTGTGCTTGAAAGCCCATGCACAGCAACGAACACCCAACGCAGCCAAAAATAAATTAATTAATTAAATAAATTTATTAAAAAAAAAGCTAACCACACTTTCTTCAAGGCTGAGCCATAAGAAAGTTTGTATAGGAGCAACAGAGTTTTCTGTATGTTCACAGGCAAGTCTTAAAACGCAAGGGGAGCCTTTTGGTTTAAATTATCATTTGAAATTAGAGTCAGAAATGCCTTATACTTACACTACTTTCATCTGCTTATTATTTTCTTTTTATTAATACTTTAAGACATAAGGCTTTTAAAAAATGAAATGGGTAAGAAAAGAAGGTTGGTAAATTTCTTTTCTTGGACAGAGCCAGACGGGCCAGAGGGCAGGAGAGCTCTGGGCCCCTTTTAGAATTAGAAACCCCTGTCTGACTTCTAACCACAGTGAAAACACAGGGTGGGTAACAAAGATGTTTGGTATCCACAAGACTGAAATAGGAATTAGAAGGATTTATTTTTAGCTCCAACAGAAACACTTATTACTAGTGACCTTAGGAAAGTCACCAAACCTCAATGAATTTTACAATTTTTGCATATCTAAAGTGGGGATTACAATAATTGCCTCATCAAAGTACACTATATAACAATGTGATAGAAACCATGTGGGGCTGTACCATTGTAAAAAATTATTAATATTACCTTTTTCCTCTTCCTGGTCTTGGTGGCATCTTCATTTGTTTCCTTTGGTTGTATCAAGAAACATTCTTTAGGCTATAAAGAAATGTAAATGAGAAAACTTTCACCTTAGCATGATGAGGTGTCAACTAATGGTATGAATCCCAAAGTATCAATATCTACTGTCATGCATGTATTCTTCAGAGTATCTTGGACAAAGAAATGTTGGAAAATCCACTGAAGGCTATTATGCAGGGGCCGAGCTGAGAGAATTTGTAAAAGTGAGAAAGTGCAGATGACTTAAGACTGGAAAATCTTTGAACAAAGGTCAAAATGTGTGAGTAAGTGTATATATGTGTTTGAGGTGGTGGTACAGGGTATTAAAGATGGAAGACAGTGGCTAGGTTTGGAAAATACAGGCAGAAAGAGATGTGATTAAAATTAAGATGTAGTAAAGAAGTCTTTGACTAGAATGACTGGTGTTTCCAGGAACTAGCAATGTGTGAGTCTGTATTTCCAAGTCACTGACTTATCATTTTGTTATTCATTCCTTTCCTCTCCTCAATAGGCACAGAAAATCTGAAGTAGGATATATTTACTTATATTTTTATGAAACCAGCTGCACCAAATGTCTTATCTATAGTGACTACAAAATGAATGTTTCTGCTTATGGTCTGACAAAAGCCTCAACACCATGGCATCCTGAGTAATTGATTTTGCCTGTTGCCTTGACCCCTGGAGTACCCTATATAGTTTAGTGCTATTTTTACCCTAAGGATTTGTTTTTTGTTTTGTTTTGTTTTAGTGTAGAAAAACAGGAAATTTGGACTAAGACCTTGATTTATAAAATAGAATGCTTCAGATTCCATATTTATTAATCATAGGCAGTTATATAAAATGTTTCCTGTACTAGATCTTTTATGCAACATTTTCAAACAAGTTGCCAAGTAAGACATAAAATATAAGTGAAAACTTATTCTGAGTTTTTTCTTGATTAAGTTTCCATTCCAACTAGAGAGTACTCAGTTTAAGCTGGTAAACTACTAACTAAAGCAATCTTGTCTCTACTGGCTCTGTTTAAAATGATTACAGATGAAGCTTTCTATTAAAGTTTCCAGATAGCCTACAGATTAAGAATGCCTATGGCCTGAATCCAGAGAGATATAATGCTATGTAATTTCTTCAAGACATGGGGCCAGGACCAGCAGTTTCTAGGCTCTGTTTCAGTTATAGAGAAGTAGATTCAAAAGGCTCAGGATTAAAGTAATACGGGAATCTTGAAATTTCAGCTGCTTCTCAGTTAAAAGAAAAAACCTGCAAAGTACAATTGCATCATAGCTAAAGAAAATAGATATTAGGGCCTCTCTTATTTAGAAAGTTAAGCTGTCTTGTGGATGCAGATACACGCTAATTTGATGCCAATTAGAAACTGGGCCAAGGCCACTAATATGTCACAGAAGCTGCCAGACAGTCATAAGAGTCCAATTACAGATCAAGCCAACATCAGCTCATGCTGCTATGGCAAAGGCCTGGATACAATTAGTATCTCCCTAGATCCCTCAAGGCATACTTCAGTATCTTGTCCCCATTATGAAGGTTTTGGGGGGAAGCAGATGTAGACCTGTTTCATTTTCTTATTTAGCAAATGGGGGTGCTCTCTAAGAGTATGTTCAATGTGCGGGGTTTGTATTTATGCCAGGTTTACAAAGCCAGTTAAACATGACACAAATTAAATGTGGAAATGAGCTCAGTTATAAGGATATGGACTCTCCAATTCTGGAAGAAAAAATAAAAACACAATTCTGAATCACGCAAAGGAAAAAAGAAACATGCTTGACAACTGCTTTTGTCAAGATACCGTAACAGGTTTACATGTTAGGTTCAAATTCTTACATCATCTTAAAGGAAATGCAGTATGATATTTGTTTTCTGGGAGCAGTCACTTTAGCTGGTTGCAGTAGGGTGCTAATGAAGAAGCTAGTTTATGGGGTCAATTTCCATAGAAGTGAGACTACTTTATGAAGAAATACAAAGTCCATAGTATTGAAAATTCCTAAACGTTGCCAGCTGCCTTACAGATGCTGATGTCTCCCCTCAGAGAGACTAGGTAAGATGAGGAAGACTCAGGGTAGGCCAACTAACCATTTCTAGAAACTGATTCCAACAGTATCTGACTTTGGCAGTTAATAAGTAATGTCATTTCTTTATGCAGTGATTTTTAAATATGTACCCTGAGTATGAAGTTAAAGATTTAGAAGAATCACACTTGCCCAAAAATATACCAAAAAAAACTTATTAAGCTTTCAGTGAAGCAATTAATTGGGGCACGTTTTCAATTCCTTAAAGTGTCAAAAATTATATCCTTTAAGAATGAGTCTTCTGGTTTTAACCATGGCAAATCATTTTCAAAACGCTACTAAAATGAAAATAAAGGAGGGACTTCCCTGGTGGCGCAGTGGTTAAGACTCCATGCTCCCAATGCAGGGGGCCCAGGTTCTATCCCTGGTTGGGGAACTAGATCTCACATGCATGCTGCAACTAACAGTTCACATGTCTCTACTAAGGAGCCCGCGAGCCACAACTAAGGAGCCCACCTGCTGCAACTGAGACCTGGCACAACCAAATAAATAAATAAATATTTTTAAAAAATTGAAAATAAAGGAAACTGAAAATGATATAAGTCTATAAGGACGAAGAAACCAGGAGAAAGGACAACAGTAGTGGAGAGATTTCAACAACATTTTGGAAAATGGAAAGGGTTGAAACTGGATGTAAGCTATTTAGCATAGGGAGAGAGACATCTAGCACCTGGGTTTCTAGAGAGACAGATGCTAACAATAAGTGTGTCTGTTTCACCTGTTGGACTCTGAAAAGGTTCAGCAGTGGGTGGTACAAGGTACTACAGAGGGGAAAGGGTTTGAAAGAAAGAGACTGGTTGAAACTTCACGTTTAAAATGATTAGCCTCCCTCCTACACCCACCTGGCTATATCTTCTGCTCAGGCAGCCAAGCAACTATCCCATTACCGCTTCCTCTCATCTTGTTCTTCCTAACAGAAGACTGGAGATTTATGCTCTGGAGAGAATAAGAAGACCAAGAAGTCTAGCACAAGGGAGGCAGGGTAGAGGTTGAGGCTCATTTCCTTTTCCTGTCCCTGTTTCAGGATATTTCAAGAGAGGCTTATATAGTGTAGGCAGAACACTACTGAATTCTTCTCTGGAAAAATAAAATGGCCTAAGAGAAATGCCACAAGAGAGTGACATTTGGGGGTTCCATAGTAAATGTCCAGCTTTGTTATCATATCACCCTACCAAGAGGTCCACTAATTAACAAGCCCCATTTATGCACGAAAGTTTTCCATTAACTTTTTAGTGTGTTTCTCTCTAATATGAATAGACAGCTAAGGTTCATCAGACATCTAAGGAAAGTCTCCAACATCATAGCAAATAAACAAAAAAAAGAAAAAAGAACACTGAGGAAACAGAGACTGTACTTCAAAACAATTACAATTAATATTCTCAGAGAGAAGAGGGAAGAATTTTCAGCCATGAAACAAGATGCTATAAAACGAGGATGCTATAAAAAAGGAAAAAAAATAAAAAAAAACATTTAAACCTTAAAACAAATAAGAAAGTTGGGGGGCTTCCTTGGCGGCACAGTGGTTAAGAATCTGCCTGCCAATGCAGAGGACATGGGTTCGATCCCTGGTCGGGGAAGATCCCACGTGCTGCAGAGCAACTAAGCCCACGAGCCACAACTACTGAGACTGCACACTGCAACTACTGAAGCCAGTGCGCTCTAGGGCCCACGTGCCGCAACTACTGAGCCCACGTGCTGCAACTACTGAAGCCCGCGTGCCTAAAGCCTGTGCTCCACAACAAGAGAAGGCACTGCAATGAGAAGCCTGTGCACTGCAACGAAGAGTAGCCCCCACTTGCCACAACTAGAGAAAGCTTGTGCGCACCAATGAAGACCCAATGCAGCAAAAAATTAAAATAATTAAAATAAAAATTAAAGAAAGTTGGAATAAAAATGTAGGAGGAAGGCTTGAAGATAAAGTAGAAAAAATCTCCCAGAAAGATGAAAAAATGATAAGAAAAAAATGGTAAGAAAATTAGAGAATCAGCCCAAGAGAATCAACATGCCAATAAAAGGTATTATAGAAAGTAAGAGTCATATAAAACAGTGGGGAAGAAGTAATAAAAAAATAATGTATGAAAAACTTTCCAGAACTGAAGGAAAATTTCTAGAACATGAAACTCCAAATTGAAAGCCCATTAAGTGTACAGTACAATGGATAAGAAAAATAACCATGCTAAGGAAAATCACTGTGAAATTGCAGAACATCCTGGACAAACAAAAGATTCTAAAAACTTATGAAAAGAAAAACAGTAACATACAAAATACAAAAGGTCAAAGAAAAGAATGGTGGCAGACTGTGCAACAGCAGTAATTGATGCTTGAACTCAGTAGAACAAAGCCTTCAAAATTATGGGGAAAATTTATTTGCAAATTAGATTTTTTTTTCAAATTAGATTTTTATACCCAGCAAAATTATCAATCAAGTTAAGAGGAAAAATTTCAGATTTCAGTAAACATTCTCAGATATTTAAGATCTCAAAAAATTTACTTCCTACCCACAGATACTCAAGGCTCTATTCCAGCATAATAAAGGACTAAATCAAGAGGATGACATAGGATTCAGTAAGTAGGGAGACCAATCCGGGAGGCTACTGAAGGGGCAGTAAAGAGAAGTCTCAGTTGTTCAGCAGGCCTAGAGAATAACCAATTCAGAGTGGAACAAAAGTGTGGAGATCTGTAGGAAAGAACAATAACTGATCTATTTGAGCATATGGAAAATACTGTCCATGGGCATGTGGAAGAGATGTTGGAACATACGGGAGCAATTAACAGTAGGAACATAGCAAGCTAGGCAAGTGAAGAAATGAGGTAATTATTAATACATAAAAATAAAGAGTTGTATAAGAAAGGAGGGATGATTATAACTTCTCTTTTTCTCAGCACTGAACAGTGTTTCCATGGTCATAATAATGAAAGAGTGACAACTGTTTTAACCAAAATGTAATAGTGTATCGG